GAAATGGGTTAAACATGGTTATATACTGCTTGCGGCGACGGATTGTTCCCTGTTAACGATAGACATTACAGTTTTTATGGATGTGGAGACGAACCCTGGTCCTATTTCTTCAGAGAAGAGCTATGATCTACGAAAGCAAACCTGGTCTGACGAAAGTAAGATTCCATGTTATGGAAGAAACTATTTACTCGGTTTGAGAAAGAAATCTGGTAAACCTTCGAGCCCTGTCTTAGAGACGCTTAAGAAACTACAGCTGCTCAGGTTTCGTGGTAATCGGGGAGGTTTGAGAAAAAATGTTCAGCATGTGAAGGAGAGAACTATTCAGAATATTTCTGTCGTCATTGGACGAAGGGCGGAAAGTGGGTTTGCTATTCCCCGGCTGCGGGTTGAAAAACGACGAAACCCTAGCAATCTCGTCAGTGTACCAAAACAAGTGGTGTCCCGCGAACACACCTCTGTTAGTTCTGGTCAGCTTGCTGTCCCTAAACTTTTGTTTATTAACATCTGTAGTTTGGGGAAAACAACTAGTCGGGTGCGAGCGGTTGTGGCTTTGGAGGCCGACTTAAGAAATAATGACATCGATGCTTGTGTTGTGTCGGAAACTCATTTAAAAATTGAGGTACCCGATACGGTGGTTAATATCTCGGGTTATAATATCTTCAGAAGGGATAGGAATTGGTCTGGATGCGATCTAAGGAATGGGGGAGGTGTTGCTATCTATACAAGGAGTAATCTTTCAGTTATTGATGTTTATCGTTCTAATTTATACGAGTTTATTTGCCTGACTGTGTTGCTGCCAAGTGGGAATTACATTCTTTTATCTGGTCTTTATCACCCCCGAAAACATCATACCAGCAATGCGATTTAATGGATTATCTTCTTAATTTCTTTGACACAATGCTGGATAATCACCCAAACGCTACTATTGTTTGCGGTGGCGATCTTAATCACCTTGATCTCACGAGACTTAAACGCATTACTGGTTGGACCGCTTTAGTGGATTTTCCAACACGAGGGGATTCATTTTTGGATAATTGTCTTACAAATAGGCCAGAGCTCTTCGGAAAAGCTTTATCTATAAAGATGCTGATTAAGACGGATCACATTGGATTTATAGTTCCAGCGGGCAAGAAACTCAAGCCTATTCGTAAGAAAGTGCAATTTAGGGATTGTCGTGAGCATAGGAAGCAAGCTCTTTACCTTGCCCTCGCATCAGAATGCTGGGATGATGTTTTGGAGGCGGATAGTATCGAAACAGCTGTGAACATCTTAGAATTGAAGATCCTGTCAAATATTAACTGGTGCATGCCTTTACGAACGGTTTCCCTTTCGTCCCGTGATCCAAGTTGGATGACACCGCTAGTTAAATACATGCTACGTAGCAAGTCTCGCATCTCTGTTTTACGCACTAATAAGCATAGAGAGCTTAGTAGAAATGTGTTGAAGGTTATTGGCGAAAACAGAAGGATGCTTCTGGAGGGCAAAATGGGGAGCAGAGAATGGTGGAAAAACGTAGACTTGATATCTCAACGCCGGCGGTCCACAAACGTTTCGCTGGATAGAGAGACCGCTCAAGATTTGAACGAGTATTTCGGTGACCTGTGTACGGATGGCGATTACGTTGAGCCCGCGTTACTTGAAATTGGTCCTGAGGTGAAAGTCCCGGAAATTAGTGAACGATATGTATGGAACTCACTGAGTACTCTAAAGAAGACTGCAACTGGTCCTGACCAAATTCCGTATTGGGTGTGGAAAGACCATGCGGAGATCTTCACTCCAATCATTACTAAGCTATGGAATTTGTCTCTCGCTACGCACCAATGGCCTAGATCGTGGAAAAGGGCAAGTATAAACCCACTGCCAAAAGTTGATGTTCCAGTGGCAAGAGGGGACTTCCGGGGGATCAACGTAACCCCTGTAATAGCAAGAGCCCTGGAAAAGGCAGTCTATAAGATTCACGCCCAAAGGCCGGTAGAAGAACAGCTGTTGAATAGTCAATTCGCGTATAGAGAAGGAGGGAGCTGCACAGATGCTCTGCTACTTATACAGAATAAGATCTGCAAGTTTCTTGATGATCCCAAGTGCAAGGCAGTGCGGATGTTCGCGATGGATTTCAGTAAGGCCTTTGACTCTGTGAGCCATCAACTCCTTGCTGAGAAACTTAAGAGTCTACCACTTAACCCGTATATCATAAACTGGTGGTTAGGTTTTTTGCGAGATAGAAAACAAAGAGTTATTTTCGGGAATCATGTCTGTAATTGGAAAACAGTTAACAAGGGCACAACCCAGGGTAGTGTTTCAGGACCTTATTTGTTCAATATATTTCTTAACGATCTGGAAATTAAATTAGGGAACGAGACACTTGGTTTCAAATACGCTGATGACTGTACGATTATTGCTCCGGTATATTATTATAAAGATCACTCTGTAGACTTAATAAATCAGTTTTTACAGTGGGCAAGCCAAAATAGAATGAATTCAAATTCTACTAAATGTAAAGAGCTTATTATGTATAAAAAAGGTCACACTGCTGAGGCCTACAAAAGTATTTTTGGCATACCTCAGACTAGTACAATAACCATTCTTGGTCTCACGTTTCAGCCGAACTGCAAATTCAGTACTCACCTAAAAGAAAAGTTAGGTAAAGCTAATAAATGTTTATACGTTATCAGATGCCTCCGCAAAGAAGGATGTAGCCAAGCAGAAGTAGATGTTTTATTTAATTCCATTGTCCTACCTAATATTACTTATGCTCTATCTGTGCATGGGGCCTCTGAGTCAGAGCTAACTATAGCCCAGCAGTTTTTAGATCGTTGTTTTAAACGTAGTTACATATCTAAGAAATTAGTGATAGGTGACTTACTTAAAACGCAAGATCACAAAATATGTCGCAAGGTTTCAACTATCCTGAGCCATCCTCTTAGAGCCTACTTCCCTGAGACCAAGATCACGAGGTATAATTTGAGAAATAAATCCCCTGTCATGCCCGCCATTCGCACAAACCGTTTTAAGAATACATTTTTTAATAGAATTGTTTTTAAGTACAATGTAGCTTTGTAAAAGTGTACTTCCTGTATTAGACTTTTGTATTTGTTTCCACGTATATACTTATCTTATTTAGATACACCTAAGCTTATTTACATCCTTTTTTTAATGAAACATAAGATATGTAATTTTATCTTTTGAACAATAAAGACACTTTATTTATTTATTTATTTATTTAGCAGGGAAAACTCGTCAATGATATCAACTGACCGTAACTGTGTAATATCTTGTTGGCTTTAAAGTACTTACTTGATCAGTTTCAGGATAAGTCTCGGATGTCTAACTTAAAACAAGTGTAGAAGAATTGTTTGATTCGCCAACCATGGCATATCCAAACGCACCATAGCACCACAGCACCACTGCACCACTGCACCACATGACGACACATTACGTCAATAAATCGAGTGGTTTTTGGACGCAAGGGGAATGGGTCAAATGACACGCGACGGCACTGGAAGAGCGACCTCTTCCCACTAGGTTCCTCTTTCCACTGTACCCTTTTTCGTCCCAGTAAAGGGATCTACAACCAATATTTCTCTGCATAACATCTCGTCGTGTACAGTATTCCACACCATTGGCTTCCTGAAGATTATAATCAAAATAACTTCTTGAATAAAGCGGAACAAGTGGATCCGGACTGAAATGTTTAATTACAGTACAACTCAGCAAGAGATAAACAACAATTACCGAGTTGTCTAAATTTTACTTAACATCAATTTATCCTTCTATTTTCTTCTCTCTAATCGATTTGAACACTTAATTATTATAGGAATTCTTCATCTTTTAATATTTACTCTGATTTACTTTTCTTCGCAGTCGTTAACGTTTGCGCGGGAGCATCCATAGTGGCGACTGAAATAACTAACAAATACACAATGAATACATTTATAAATATTTTTTCCTATTTGAAGTCATTTACAATAAAAACACGAAAAATATTGTGTTTATAGACATCACCATCAGTATATCTGAAAATGGAATCAACTACAACGTTTTTTCAAGTCAAAACAAGATACAAAATTCTCACGTTCTCGCCAACGGCGAAACTCACTAAATGGCGCCCTCTGCAATAATCAATAATCACGAGCAATTTTTATCATCCAATCACAGGTCGGAGCCATTCCTGTATTTAGTCGCTTGTGCAAGACCACGACGGCAACCACGCGAGACTGGAGCTCTCGTGCGCGTGCTTGCTAATACGAATTTGCTTCCTGTAGCCGTCCTGGTTCCTTCCGTCCTGCTATTTCAAGGTCCCTATTTTTTGATGAGGGATGAGAGAGTATGCAAAGTTTAACACTGTTTCTTACTCTGTGGATACTCGTGGAGTTTTCTGGCTCTTCGGATGAAGATATTTTAATGATTAAAGGGCGAACAAAACCTGAAAAAAGGCCGCAAACTTGATGTTTGAGATTTGATTTACTGACGATCAAGATGTGCACATGAGACTACAAACCTTGAAGGTTAGTCTTAAGAAGTTGATATCTTACCTCTATGAATCACGAAGTTGTATGTGGAGACGATCGTGAGATATTCGTTACGATAATCAAGAAGGTAGTTTAGAATTTGATCTTAGTTTACTTCAACTTTGAAGTAAAATTGCGTTAAATCCCTCACCATTGTCAATTCATTGTTTATTTATTTAGCTAGCTTTCGGTCTAACCAGTGCATTTACCTATAAAAAAAATTCGTGGGCTTTGTCTCACGAGTTTAAACTTGTGTTTAAGTGTTATTCGAAACGAATGGCGTCAGCTTCATTCTGTTTTGTTTATTTCAGTAGAATGGTTCTGCCATACGAAATGAATATTGGAGTCGAAGTGTACTTTGAAACTCGCGGATAAAAAATTACGAAACTCTCTCTTAGGTTCTTAAAATTTGAGACGAGTGATACAACAAACGTATTATTACTTAATGGGGCTGAAACTCCTTGTTTCTTTGAAATGTTGACTAAGGTTAAAATGTCGTCAAACCAATTTGACTTGCATTTCACTTCAATTTTTATTTGTTAATTGAGACTGGTGATAGGAATTGACTTTAATGTTCTCTGACCGCTATTTAGAGAGATGTGAAGTGACCCCCATATGTATAGTTGGTACTATAGACAGAATGGATAGGTGTGACATTTACTGTGGCAAACTGGTATTCAAGACTAGCCTATGCTGTACGCAACTTGCGTCTATCCTTTATTTGCAACTGTAAAATTACTAATAACGTTTTTGAACATTTTGTCCAAATTTCATTGGGGAAAGAATACAAGGAGTGATCAAGTAAAATATTGTCATGTTCCTCTAGAGTGTGTAAGCTTCCAGGATGGAGCTTTAAAATTTCTTAAGTGACTGATGTATGATTTGTTTGCCATAAAATTGGCACAACCAAACTCCTGTCTAAAAAACTATAAATTTCCTCAAATAGGTATCCAAGCTGGTGCCCATTGCTGTAGAATATGCAATGTCAAAGTTTCCTTGTGATGTAAGTCTCATTTCTCTAAAATCTGATGGGCGTAAATCATCCATTTTCATTAAGAGATCAACAAACTTTTCCACATAAGTTTAATCTGACCTTATTTAGTCTTGCTCCCCAGAAAAATAGGCTTTTGGAAATATTTTGTACATTTCACTAGCAGTACAGTTGAAGCTCTACAAAATGCTCACAGCAAAGTGAGTACTTCAAATGATCAACAATAACTTGAGATAGCAATGACATGATAAAGGTATACTATCCAATACTTTAGTGCTCCTCGACAGGTGTCTTGCATCCTTCGCAAATAACATCATCTACATTGAAAACTTGAAGTCATATATATAATCTTTTGCTTTTTTGAAAATCACTTCCCTCCACACACCACACAACAATTTTAAGACTTTGATGCTTTCTTCTAAGTTACAGAGGGAAAATTGACAAGACGGATTTTCTCAAATACTTGAATTGTTGTTTTCTGATGTATTTTCCTGCTTCTTTTCTTCAGCAATTCTTTAGTAGAAAACTGACACAAGGCACTTACCAGCGGTTTCTTGCAACAAACTAAACCTTGGCTCCCAGAGGTCATTATTTGGCAACCATACTGCTTACAAGGAGCCAAAACAACCCTGAACTCAAGATTGGGCAGAAGATTGATTGGAAGGTGTTTTATTTGGTTCAAGACCCACCAGTGAAGTTTTAAGATATTCAGTGGAAGATCAGTACCATGGTACCTATATTTCCATTACAGCATTTACTTTTTGAGGAAGTAGAGATTGATTTCTAGCCTAAATTTTTCATAAGATGCTGTTTTCTTACAGATTTCAGATCTACAGCTGAGGTAAGTGTTGGTTTTTGTGTTGTTTTCCAGAAATAAGCTCTTATTTGCTGTAGCTAGGAATTCACCAACGCTTACATCCAAATTAGGGCATTTGATTGATGGAAAACACATTCTTTTTTGTTTGTTAAATTATGGATCAAATTTTTCTTAGTGTGTTTGGGAAATTTTCATTCTCATCAATATTGGATGAAGTTAAAATTTATTAACTCCTGTTTGTAACCTTTTCCATAGTGTAAATCACATTTGTTCATTTATCAACTTTAAATACGTTTAATCCTAAGTTATAAATTCAACTGTAATCTGCAATAAACACTTCTTCAGGCAACACCAAATTGAGAATGCTGTGAGTCCTATGAGCTTCAGCAAAGAGAATTTATGAAATTTGTTACAATGCATGCAAGTTTCAAATTAATAAGGGGAAAATAAAAGCTATACGTGTACAGGTGTGTTCTTACATGTACAATGAAAAATAGATTTTGGCTGAATCAACCATAAGAGAGTTGTCAAAATGAGTTCTTGGTTTTAAGCTTTGATGACAACAACTTAAGTTTACATTTCAAAGGCTAGTGATATGCTCATGACAAAAAAATAACATTTTCAACCATACTTGACAATATTGTTTATTTTACCTTTTTTAACAGCAAATTCTGTTGACAATCAACAACACTGGAATCTGGTGAAGTATTAAGAAGAATTGGAGGAAGTAGGAAGGTAGAAATCCTGTATTAAATATTATTGAGCATAATTGTCTGACTAACTGTCAGGGAGATGCTTACATGAGACTGGATTGGCTACATAGGTGTCATCTAATTATTAAGAGATGGCACCTGGAGCTGCTTGATGTTGAGGTGGTTTAACTTAAACTCTCAGAATTCTCTGCAATGAAGACTTACTTTGTTTCTTGTCATCTGATCAGTAACTGAAAGTTATATTAGTGATTAAGAATGACTTTCAACCTGGTTATGAACCTGAGTTAGATGGGTTTTTTAAAATGATCTTTTTACACATATGAGAGGGGTGTGCATGTACTCCTTAAGGATGTATGTAAGTGTATGGAGTGACATGGTGGAATCTTCAGGCACCGTATGTAATTTGCTGGTTTGTAGAACAACTTAAGCCTTACTCTTTTGTTTATCAAATAAATTAGGTGTCTACCCCATGAGACCTCAAATACTCTTTTAAAACCTGCCTAGCGTTGGTTGATGGGACACTTTCCCTTTTCTTCTGGATGGTACTCCCCTGACAATGACACCCAGCATCCCAATCCAATGTAGTGGGAACAAGCAACCTCTTTTCTCACTTTGGTGAATTGTTGACCCTTTCCTTTGCTTTATGGATGGTTTTGAAGTATTCTACTGTTCCTTGCCTTGCAAATGATATGCGCCAAGCCAGGTGATGGCTTGCATAATTTTTTTCTAAGAATTTTCAACATTCTTGTTAATTCTATCTTTTCTTCACATTTTTTTTCCTTAACCTCAACAGGTGATGCCTTCTCTGTTAACTCAGCTTCTGGAACCATGGATATTACTTTGTCAAAGGACTTTGCCAATTGCTGCTTGCATTTTTTGTTAAATTCTTTATAGATCACTGTCCCAAAGTTTTTCACCCCTTTCTATGTTTGTTTAGGAATTGTTTTTGCGAGTCAATTCTTTTGCTTGATAGCATCTGTTAATAGCTCCCTTTTGCTCACCACACAGCCTATATTTTTCTTGTAGAGGCTACTATCTTGTGGGGTCATTAGAATGCAGCATTTGCATTCATTTACACTATGTTGCTGCCAGCTTTCGATGGAAAATGTTTGTAGCTACTGTATCCATTTTTGGGCAGTGACCACTGTGAAATTTGGTTATCAATAGCTTCATTGATTGGGATTTTTGTTCAAAGTTGATGTTTCTTTTTCCCATCTGTAAGTATTTGGGAACCTTCAAAAGGTTTGTAGAGAAAAAAGAAAAGAACACTTACTTTTGCTGACATGTTGATGAAGACATTCTCTGAAATTTTCCATGTACAGCAAATACCTCTCTTCCAGTTGCCACCCTTTTATACCTTTTCTTACTCAGTATCACATCGTTATTTTTTCTTATTTTTAGCAAGGGAATTTGTATACCATAACTTAACATGAGCAAATCCACATGTCAATCACCATGTCATTTGACATCATGCTTCTTCATCTTTTTAAATCATTCTTGTTTTTCTTTTCTTTCCTTTTGTTTTGTTTTTTTTTTGGAACTTCACAAAATTTGTTAGCCTGCAATTAAGCATAGAAATTTTTGCAATGTGTACATGCAAGTTATCTTTCCATGAAGATTATTTGAAGGGAAGAATTTGATTTTGAGGTTCCTTCTTTTTCACCCTTTTTTTTGTGCTGCTAACCCAAATAAGAACTCTGCTCATTACTCACAAAATGACTTTTGATTAGTCCAAAGTGCACAAATGTAATTTAAAAAACTGTTTGGGCACCAACACCAGCAGCCATTTCTCCCTTCCCTGTCCTTCTACAGCTTCACATTGTTACTGATTGTTAAATTGATTTCGCAGTCAAGGCAAGAGAAACATTTGGAATTTTTAATTTTAAAGCTGTCATATATTTGACTCCATAGGAAACCACAAGTCATGCAATGCATTCTATGTGTTGAAGTTGCCACAAAACACATGCAAGCAAGCAAAGACAAACCCAAATCATTAAACATCGGTGAAGTATTTCAGTATCCCTACAATTACAGGAGTTGCAAACATATGGTATCAGAACTAAATAACTAGACTGTTTTCTGTCTTGGTATGCCAGAGATGCAGGTTTCTCGCATATGTATACAGAGAGCTGAAGACAGCAGTTTGGGGGGAAGTAGTGCCATATATTATCAGCTATCATCTCAATACTTCATACTAAACACTATTTCCATTTTTTTTTTTAGTTTTAGCCTGATTAAACTTTGTTTTGCAGGTTAAGGGGTTGTAGCAGGGTGAGTCATTTGCCAAATAGGCTGTCTTCTTACATTTTCTTTTTTTGTGGTTAACAAAGGATTCCAGGCTTAGATAGCGTTAAACCATAGACAGCCCCAAGTGTGAGGGTGATGACACTTAACCCATGCAAGAAAAGCAATTGCTTACTTTTATTATCACCAAGAGAAAACAAAGTCACTACCAAAGCTAGTTTTCAGATCTGAGGAACTCAGAGGCTCTTTGTAAAGAGGTCAACAGTACTGATATCTCTCTATATCAGTTTCTTGATGAACAATACTTGAGTAGTTTTCACTGTATTCCACTTGATAATCAGTATCAAACACATTTAATGCTATTGGCAATTCTGACCTCATTAAAAACACCTGTCTTGCTAATCATGAAAACTTGAATGAAACTGATTTCCAATATTCATTATTTGTATAAGATCATTTGCAGAACTGATCCCCTTTGTTTTATTGTAAATCAAAGAGCACAAACTCATTGCAACACATTGTTGTCTCGCTTTCTGTCCAAATACTAACTCATTACCTTGACTATATGGAGTGGCTATTGTTTTGTTAGGGTTAGCATATATTGGAGGACCAGGATTTTCTTCATGTCGCTACTTAATTTGTGGTTGCAATAATTTGCTACATGAGCCTCACTTTTGCAAGAACACATCAGCTTGTTACAAGAAACAATGTTAAAAATATCGACTGGCACGATATTTTATATTTCTTATACTTTGATGCATTCTTTCATGACATTTAAACTTAAATGTCGGTTTATTTAATAGCTTTAACATTTATATAACAGTACAATGTAGATAACATACATGTATACGTGTTCAATTTTTAATTCTGGCCTGTAAAGAAATATATAACAGAGTTTTTCTCACCCTTCGGTGGCAGCACATAATTGGCTAATTGCTAAGGAAGTAATTTTCTTCATAGTGATCATTAAAGGAGTGAAATCGAAGACGTGTTTTTCCCGCTGGGGTTTCCTGGCGCACCGCTGAGAACACTGCTAACTACGCGTGGTAGGCTGTGAGAAAATAAACAAGGAAACGTCAAAAAAATTATTTACTCACAGATCTTTTATACATTTCGTGACCAATATTACTTCTTGTATCTCAAGTTGGTTTTTAAGCAAGGAAAGTAATCACAATTGAGGGTATAGTCGGAAAATGTAAATGCACTGAAATACGTTACGAGAAGATTTATGTTACTCATTGGCAAATTAATTCTTAAATTTAAGATTTAACTCTAAATGAAGCATCCACGAGATTTGAGGTCAAATACCATCAAGTCAAAAACAACGACCGGCGACGGAAAAATTACTAGAAAGTCAGTCAACTGAACGAGCACTTACTATATGGTGTTGATTTGAGTTGGTTGGCCATCGAAACGGGAGACACAATTTTTAATTAAAAGAAACATGGCTTTTTCATCACGGTTTTTCATGGTTAAGGTTAAATTAAATTTGCAAAGGAAAGTGTAACAATATTGCGTGACACTGTCACGACCTCGTGGTCCGCTGACGACATCTGTCTTCTTATATTAAATATATCTTGTTGGTCCGACATCTTGGTTTTGTATGCGTTCTCCTCTACATTGCCCGTTCTGGCTTGTTACAGAAAGAATGTGTACAACCAAGACAAGTAAATTAAGTTAATTTATTTCTCGCGAAATAATACACAGTTAGGACCTTACCCTCAAGAAAGAACGATAACCCCTTTTGGCAGATGCCGCCGAATACACTCGTACCTTCGAATAGAAATTTCGCGGGATTAAGTTCCCGCGCTTACCTGATGTTTGAGACTTACTGACAATTATATTTCGTACTTAAAGAGCTCCTTAGTATAGACGCTGGAAATTTATTATCAAAAAATCTACCCAATCGTGTCAAGCGTTAAATGATACTGCTGTATCTCCAGAACATAATGCAGTCGAACTGAAATCTCTCTAGAAAACAAGATTCTTGCCGAGGGGTTCACCGGCCCTCTTGCTGACTCGGAGTTAAAGGTCTGATCACAGTAAAATATTAGTCAGCTGGCACAATTAAACTTCGGCATTCTCGTGGCCGAACAGATGATCGCTCTCTGTGTCACAAACTAATAAATCTGTAGATCACAGACAGAACATGCAGGGTACAACAACTGTAACTTGATAGTCACGTCACGCAGTATTAACAGGCTATCCTCAAATGACGTGACACGTTTGGGCTTACCTAAGCCGTTCCAGTCCCTGAATCATTTTGAGATTGTTAAAATTACCATCCATGCTAGGATTGCGTAGTTATTTCCCAAGAGAAAATTTTGACCCAAAGACCTAAATTTACTTAGCACTCGCTAATGCGTAAGCCGCGCGGATCCTCGCGCCTTTTTATATTTTAATTGTCAACTTTAATTAATTACACGTTCTAAGCCAATCACCTCTCTTTCACTTGCTAATTGAGTCCTCTCACTTTACATTGACAAGCCTATGGATCATGTTACGCTTCCCTGGTGAGAATTTTCCCCGCCCCCTCCCTACCTATCCACTTTTACTCCTAACCCTTTACACCCAACATCAGTCTGCATATTCTCCATACTGTTCTCGATATGCTTCTCAAGGTGCTGACAAGGAGAATTTGTGAAACAATCAAGAGCTCCTTTAGTTATTGACCATTTCTCTTTTTTCTCGTGACTTAAATGAGTGATTTTGAGGAGATATTGTGAGGAGAAATTGGATGCTAGTCACTTTTAGGAGGAAAAGGATTAAGCACACATTTGTGATGGTAAACGTGTGACATCAACTCATTTTAATAAGACACCTGCACCTCAGGCTAAAATTCGAGTAAAAATAAGTAATGGTCAAAAAGAGAATTACTCGATAAAATGACTTTCATCAGCTAGACCTCAAAGTCACTTCAGATTTTGTAACAGGTAATACACCCCACACAGTAAACTAAATTTCTTCTTGTTTGTTGACCATTCATTAGTATAAGCCCTGTCAGACATTCTCGGCTAGTAAAAATAAACCTCATAGTCAGAGAACGGACAAATTCAGACCATTGCATTTGTAAACCAGATAACATTAATCGAGGTAAAAGAATCATGCAACATTTGGTGACCCACCAAAGATTATAAAATACTCCACAAGACTAGGAAAATTGCATCAGCTGTGAACCACAACCAACCTTTAATATTACTACAACAAAAATTGAGCTTTCTCAACGTTCTATGTTCATGATGTAAACTCAATAAAACAGTATGTTAGTTTTCCTTCTCCTCTAGAATTCTATCGCGGAAAAAGTAGTAAGTGCTCCTGGCGCAAAGAGTGGCGTGTGGTATCATGCCATTAGACTGACTGACAGAGAATAAACTCCTCAATCAAACCGAAACGCAAAGCACTGCAAGAGCCCTTCAATGTAAATTCCCTTTCATATAAATCATTTTACCTAGTTTTGTGTCCCTGGTGACCGACTTTCGGTCATAGCGACCTCTCATTGGCTACTATCAACCTCTTACTTCAACGTCAAGGTCTCAGCGTTTTAGCCACCATCACGAGTTCTTGGGGCCTTTGGGTGTAGAGGAGGAAACCCTTAGGAACGAGTTCACTTGAAAGAAAAACTGATCGCTTTAGCCCATCCTCATTACAACCTCAATCAAAACGGGAGCGTTTTCAATAAATATACTATTTTAAGAAAAAAAAACCCTTTCGAATTATAGATAATATAATTCGAATTCATGACCATTTACAATATTATGTTTAGCATCGTCGTGTTTGGATGGAACTGGGTAAATCGCTCTGAAATTCCATTTCCCGTTTCAACCAAAGGGATTTATAATCTCTTTGGAAATTTGAAGTGCTTGTTCAAATATTTCAACCAGTCAAGCGGATGAACCTTATTTACAAGCTTTCGGGTTCTGGTTGGATCACTGAAGAGAAAACAAAGCAAGATGGACATGCTCTTTCCGCATCAAACACAAAATTGTCATTAACGTAGTAATTATAATTTACAACGAGTCTCCTAAAAGTGGACATTATCTTCAGCGAAGCATTATGGAGAAAAGGATGACTTGACTCGTGTAAAGATCGTTCAGTTTAGTAACATGACAGGCAGGTACGCAGCGTTCACGCCTGTATTCCTTTATTCCAGAGCGTCTTACTTCATCAGATTTCAAATCTTGCTCTTTTCCAAACCAAACTCGGTGATGAATTGGGAAAGTTCGCTTTCGAACCAACTTGCTTTGTTCCTAAGAACACAAAGCGAGCTCAATTAAAACTTCTGATGCTGCAAACTCCAAATGCTAATGTTTACAAACGATGCTCCATTTCTGTCGATTAGGAGGTTGTCTAAGAAGGGGGTACAGGGTAATCTCCAATCACTACTATCCCCTTTTCCTTGAGAAAATATATTTCTTAAGATTAGTTGATGTTCTATAAAGAAGCATGGAGTAATTCTCACTTCGCAAAATCCTTTCTAGGGAATGCTAGTCTCTGATGCCGTGGGTAATCACTTATCCATCCCACCTTGTTCCCTTCGGCGAGGGAGAATGCCAACCCAATGTGAAGAGGGCGGTTATGATACATTTGGTTCAGAGGAAAATCGTTTTCCCTCACCCCACCTTCATTTCACTGTTCACTTCTACCCTTTCCTCCCCAAACCTCAGTTTTTGCAATAGCTGTTGTCATTAATCAATTGCCAATACGTAGGACAGAATTACCTTAATATTTTCGCATCGTTTTCGATTTTCTCAAGCCTTGTTATTTCTCTATATAATTCGATGATGTTTTCTTCCAAGTTTTCCTTGGCTCTCTGAACCAGAGACTTAAGCTTCGCGAAGGTTGACGTCAGTTCTCTGAAATGAAATAAAATCAAATGTTTCTTTATCTGAAGTAATCGGGGATTTGGCATTGTCATGTATCTTATCGCCAAACCGTTGAAATATCGCGACATCAAAAGCGAACGAGCCGACACACGCACTGTAACAAGATTACATAGCTAAGACCGGAATGAACTTGTGGAAAATCCGTCTAACATTTGACTTTAAGCTGATAACACCACATACTACAAACAAGAGGAATTAATTCGCAGTAATCCTCATAACAAGATCAAAATAGCAAACAAGTATGAGAAATTATTCTACTCGTGTTATTCAGTAAAACCCAAAGACAATTGAAGTGTAAAAGTTCCTCTGCAGAATCAATCCGTTTTCAGGCTGAACAGGCCATTGAATTAACACTTTTAACACCAAATAGCATTGTTTTCTTGGAATTGAAATGATAGTATGACAGAGTTGAAGACACTTAACGCTTTGCATGCTTTGAATAGCATACCGAATGGGTGCAAAATCAAACAGCCATAGACTATTCTGGAATCGTTAAGTTACTACGCTTGTGTCATCCAATTGACACTTCCAGCCTTTCATCATATGGCACCGTTTCAACATTCAGTTTCAAGTCAAGTGAATTTACCCTCTGCTGTGAGCAAGAGAGCTTGAGTTTGAACAAGTCGATGATAGCATTTTGGCAAACACGACAGTCACTTGAGCAGAAAGGTATCAATGAGATAAATGGCTTAACTTTTGGCTTAAAATGGGGCTGTTAGGCGGCAGAATCAATTGAGGGGCAAATCAATGTTTGGCACCGAGCGTAAAGCGCGGGAAAATTCGCGTCTGTCGAGCAATTTGTAACCCGATTGGTCAAAAGCGTGACACCTGGTCTGATTGACAAGACACCGAGTGTAAAATTGGTTAAAAGAATGACACCTTATCCGATTGGCCAGACCACGAGCTATAAATTGAAGCAAAAACCATTCACACGGCTTTGTGGGTGAAAGAAAATCTTACCAACAATCACATCAAAGACGCTTCAAAAATCACATGGCAGCCAAACTTACTGTTGCACTTGTATACTGCAGTTGGCGCTAGTGAAGCTGACCACTAACTGAAGCTTTTCAGAAGCGTAATCCACAAACTGTCGTTTGAAAGCCTTCTCTTTAGCACCATTGGTCCAACGTACCCTCTCAATTACATACACTCCACTGTATAACCCACCACACAAAGCTATGAACTTCCATCCTACCGTCTTCCAAATCTGCGATTAAAGAAACATCAATTGGAATGGACGCTTCGTGTAGGCATACATAACGCAGCAATGTTGCGCGGAAATTCAAACTACATTTTTGAGCGATGCAATTTGTCTGTATCGCGGTCAAACGTATACACATGTGCGAAAGTTGTAATGACTGGGTGGTGTGCTTTCAGGTTGTCAAATACAAGTTGTCTCACACGAGTTACCAATAAACCACACAAGCCAGTAATAGTTCGGTAGATCAACAGGATACCATAACTTAAAAAAGATAAGTGTTAGGAAAGTCTCGCGTTTTCCTTTTCCCTGCTTTTTTTTCCTTCAGCAGATTTCTATGAACGTTTCAATTTTCGTTTTCTTACTTTGCAGGACAGCGGTTTTTTCCCTTTTTTTCCTTGAAATTTATGCGGAAATTGAAGCACGGCCGGCAAGAATTGATCCCCTCGCGCATGCCCAACGTTTGACCGCTGTGTTTTATGTCTGAGGTTCTCTGACTCAATAAAATATTTTAACCCTTACCAGTCCTCCAACTATGACCACCAGCGTACCAGTGCGTGACGTTAGTGAGGCTAAACCTTGCACGACCGCCAACGTGACGTCATCACCCTCAGGACGTTTCATAACGTCACGTAATGAAGGTGCCTGTGAACTAGTCCCAGTTCTTGCCTCTGCGGAACACGGTTGTGCGGTAGGTACCAAGTTCTGCACATTTCGCTGAAGCTTAAACCAAATCAAAATTGCTATGAGCCACTACAGTTCGAAAAGAAATTATCTAGGGGCGAGATATCCATCTGACCTTAGTACAACTGTGGCGCAATGGATTGCACTTCACCTCTCAAGCGAAAAGTTTTAGGATCGATTCCAAGTGAAAGAAAATTTCTTTCTCTTCCTTTTCCATTTTTTCCTAACCTTCTACAACAGCATGTGTTTTCCTAATTTCGTTGGGAACGTTATCACTTATTTACAGTAATCAGCTACTCAACCACCGCCTTTTTCTTTCCTAGAGTGAGGGTTTAAGTCATCCCGGAGTAGTTTATCCAAGTTGTGTTTTTCGGCTGTCAAGCATTCAAATGTCTTACAAGAATGGAAGGCCATAGTGATGGAGCGGAGAAGTTAATTGTGGATCGAAATAAAAACTCAGAAATGGCTTTCAGCTATTTCCCTTGTTTGAAATAGAATGACATGAAAAGATTTCCGTTTGTTGTTACAAAATTTTTAATGCTCTTCATGTGCTCCTTCGATCTTAACTCTTCTTTGACAAGCGTAATTTTTTTCATTCTTTGTTACTCTACTATTAAACAAGTGTTCTTACATTCGCTCCCAAAGCGATGGCTAGTCCAGCATTATGAGGTGCCAAGAACTTCCTCAAAATCGCTTGCCAGCCAAGAGAGAAGTGAAACTCGATATCTTCATGAAAATCAGTGCACAGACTGGGCACATCCAGTTTGTAGCTCGCTTGGAAATCAAGACTACAATAAATAAACACGATAAAGAAATTAGCAACAAGAAAAACGGATGTTTATTCCTTTCTCCTCCTGGATGTCTGCCTCCTGGATTCCTAAAGCCAGTGGTCTTGATGTCTCGTTATACTGAGTTAGTAGATCTTACTCCTTGACCAGCATCTAATTTCTCCTTACAATATCACCCATGAATAAAACATTAAGGTCATGAGAATAAAGGAGATGAACGCCAACTAAAGAAGCTCTTGATTGTTTCACAAATTCTCCTTGTCAGCACCTTAGGAAATGTGTGGAGCACAGTATGGAGAATATACATACTGATGTTAGGGTTTAATGGTTTAAGGAAGACAATACTCACGCTGGAGTGCCGGGCTCAAGAGATACCTCTGGTGTTTCAGGCGGAAGAAGACTACGAAGGCGATCTGGGTAAAAAGAAATGTAGCTATTTCGGAGGATGTCGGTTATGTCGCGATAAAATTTACTAGATCCCCTCATAAGGCCCTGTAATATTCTTGTGATTCCTTCCCCCCCTCCCTCCTCGTTGCTCGTTGGTAGTAAATTGACAGTCAATTCGCTACAGTTCCACTTTTTACTCTGTCGGCGACGACTGATCCTCCTTCCCTTCCCCCTGAAAACAATGAGATCCTCCTCCCCCCCCCGCCATAAATAATAACTGGTCCCTCATTAAGGACTCGTGCCTCTTTATTGTTAGCTTCCCCCCCCCCTTTTTTCCTTCTCAGTACCATATGACTATGGCACATGATGTGCCCTTAGTTCTTGCTTTACTTCAATTATTTTGCTACCCTAATGCATAGCCTCCGTAACAAGTGTTCCAGTACGAAACACTGGATGAATTGTCGATGAATTGTTCCGGGCACTGGGTTGGCGTAAACTCAAATATCAAAGATTTGAATCAGCTGCTGTTATGATGTACAAATCTTTACATGAGATGACCCCTGAGTATCTGAGTTCTAGATTTGTGTTTCGAAACGACATAACATCAAATCGATTAAGGAATACTGAAAATAAATTGGCTCTTCCGCAGCCCCGCACCAATTATTTGAAGAAGAGTTTCTCTTACAGCGGAGCCAGGTTGTGGAACAGCCTATCTAGTGACCTTCGTGCAGCAACATCTTTACATGAGTTTAAACTTAACATACGTCACCACAGTTTTGAATGAGTTTTAACACGGCATTCATGGATAATTAGTTGATCTTGTATCATTTTATAATATTTGCTGAAGGATTTACCGTGTATAAATAAAGTTACCATTACCATTACCAAAGAAGAACTTTTTAATTTCCTAACCGCGCGAAATGTGGTGGGACGAGAGTGAAAAAAGGCGCAGGATAGGGGTGGGGTGGGAAGAGGCAGGAAGGCTCGCAAGCGAATCACAGCTTCTGAGAAATATGTTTACCCACGAATGGCTCCTCTGATTAGTGCGGCGTGATTACATTGATTGACAGTTTTGACAAGTAGCTATCAAAATCCTCGTGCAAAACAATGCGAGCATAACTTACAATCGGAAAGATCAAAGAGGCGGAAGGTGAGGAAGATATTAAGTCAGACCAGTTCTGTAAACTGACGTAAGCTGTTTTTCAAACGTACTTCTCCAGATAATTCCGGCAATTCACTATATACTCATTCAAGAATTTTTAGGCTTACATACACATGCACATTCCCACATCATTCATGTAACATAGAGTAGTTCCTGAACACTGACCTGCCATTTCCTTTTGCGCCTCACAAATCACTTGAGTTTGCGAATTTGAACAACGAGCCGTCATATTCCTTCCCAAGCCCCTCTCAAGGTGATTGTACAGCTCCTATTGACATAATCAGTGATAAAGTGTTAAATTTCAGATTATTCTTGACAGTGTAACTGTCTACACATGTAACTTTCACCTTTTTGTATGTTTTAAGGAACCCAGGATGAGAATGGAATGGATGATCAAACTCATTCACCAGCAAACCCAGTCGGCCAATCTCTTCTGTCATAGCCTCAGTCACCTAAAGAAAGGAAAACACTTTGTTCAGTAAGCAACATCAGACCTTCTAACCAAGCTTTGATGTAATGAGCAAAGATACAAGGAACAATGTGCAGCACATGTGGCTACTTGGTCAGGGCATTGAACTCCTGACCAAGAGGCCTGGGTTGGAGCACAGCAGGTCAATGAGCTGTGGGCTTGTGCAAGACACCTAATTCTGACAGTCTCTCTCTTGAACTAAAAGTAAAAATGGATACAAACAAGTGGTCATGAAACATGAAGAAGTGTTGTGGATTGGCTTGTTGGATTGGCTTGTTATGGACTGGCTTGTTATGGACTGGCTTCCCATTTCAGGAGGGAGTACATGTAGCAACACTCTGGGTGTGGAAACCGAGAAGAGGTCTGACAAATTAGTTCTGTAAGAATGTGTCCCGATTTGTGTTCATCCTTACTTCTATAAATCATCATACTTATTACAAATTAGGTGCATATAGACCTGTGTGCACTCAGACACTATGTTGATAAAATTTAGGCAAATGCTTGATAAGATTTTACCACTTACTTCAAAGTAAATTTGATATGCATATGCAAAGGCACCTGACAAGCATTTGAGAAGCATGTCAAATAAAGTTATCCATTTGATTACATACTGTTTAATCTATTATGAACCTTACATTGTAAAAAACTTGAAATGACTGAAGACTGAATAAACCACAAATTTAACCTTATGCCTCCTAAAGAGCATTTGAGTTATTTCATTACCTGACCCTCAACTTTAGAAGTGATTTCCTTGATCTGGCGTTTGGCATCATGTGTATAGATTTCAAGCTGTTCCTTCACATATTCCAGTCTATTCTCTTGCTCCTTCTTGGCTTTCTCCAGTTTGGATCTTGACAAAAAAGACCATATGAACTCAGCAAAACTGACAATTAACTAAAATCACTATCAATAAGCAAAATGAAAAAATCATCTCTCTGTTTCTCACCTTTGCTGAAATGCAGAACCCACTACTTGTTCCATAAGAACCTTTACCATGTTTGCAATTTTCAATCCACTGACTGCGTGAGATTCAAACTTGGTTTGTATGGCTGACTTAGAAATACACTCCTATAAAATAAAGCATGTAAAATTTCTATTGCAAAGTGACAACAATAAATTGACACCAACTCTAGACAAGCAAATGTGTTTAATTTTAAATGGAAAAATGTATATGTACATATACATTAAGAATTTGTGGTAGCAATCTTTTATTAGTTCTTACCAAGGATCTAAGATACAACAGAGCCAGGGGTTTTAATAACCTTTTCCCTGAGCAGCTGCCAATGGTGTTTAAGGTGGCTGTTCTCAGGTAATGGGGTCATAAGCCCCCTTTCCATGCTAAACATATGGCAGTAAAAGGTCTTTTGGTGACAGTAGACCACCTGTTACTAGCTTTAATGGAAAACCCCTTCAGAGCTATATGTGAATTTACCACTTAGTCTAGTAATTTTGTATTCCTTGAATTATGAAGTCTTCAAATTCCATGTTGCAACCATCAAAATATTTTTGCCACCTTTTGGTTCATATGTGATCTACCAAATAACAAGTGACTATCTGACAACTGTTTGCTGGGTTGTGAGCCTGAGAAGGAACTACAGTACCTCAAATTTACGTTCAAAGTTCTCAAACTCCAACTGTCGAGCAGGAAATCCTTCAACATGAATGGCCCCACCTGAAAAACAACATGGCAATGTTGCTTATTTGCTTCAATATTAAAAACTTACTTGTTAAGAATGTGTTCTTACTGTTTCAAGAGAATGTGCATTTTAATCAGCCACATACCTCCTTGAGGCATTCCTTGGTGTTTCTGCATTCTGGTCATTAAGGTCTGGGTAAATCAGAAACAGGAAAAGAAAGTGGGAAAATAAACAAATAAATAAATTAAGAGATGTGTCCTGTATCAAATTGCTCTTTGCATAGCAGTAACAAAAACTTACTGACTTGTTCAAAGTTATTTGCAATTGGTGCTTGTAAGCCCAGAGATCAAATATCAAGCAGCCTACCTCTTTAGCGGAGACAAAAAACACTCTGTCTTCTGCCTGTCCTTTGTCTACACACTGGAGCTCATCAACAAGGAAACTGATGTTTCTACTGAGATGTTGATCTTTCACCTTAAGGAAACAGGGAAAAAAATTTCAAAAGCATACATTATTGCCATCATATGATAGTGGGGGGGGGGGAATAAGTATTGTTGCCCAGGGGGAGGTGGGATAACTGGTTGGCATTCTTGCCCATTATCATACTTTAATCCTTCCCCTCTATATGAGCCCCACCCCCCTACTATGAATATATAGCAAGATTCTTCAAGCAGGGAAGATACAGTCTTTTTTATTCCAGTGACAATTGTATACCGTATTTACCCGTGTATAATACACACTTTTTTCTATAAAAATAACCATGAAAATTGCAGTGCGTATTTTACACAGTTTCTATTGTTTTTCAAGCATGTCCTAATTTGCATACGTTAAAAACACAAGAAAGAAAGTAACAAAAGCCTAGTTGTAATTGGTCTTTATTAGCTTGAGTTAAATAATCTACCAATGAAACATTTTCAATTTCGATCCACAAACACAACAAAGAAAGTAACAAAAGCCTTGTAGTAATTGGTCTTTATTAGCTTGAGTTAAATAATCTACAAATCAAACATTTTCAATTTTGATCCATAAATAAATTTAGTAGAGTGTTTAAGAAACAGCTGACAAGATAAACACATGATTACGATCGTACCGTATTACTGTAATCACAAGCGATAAGAAATTTGAAATGGTAACAAAACTTACTTCTGTGAAACATCAGTTGTATGAAGCATTAATGTTTTTTTTTTCGCTGTGAAAACTTTTTTTGTGAAAAATTTGGTCAAAAATCAGGGTGCGTATTATACATGGGCATGTATTATAGACAGGTAAATACAGTATGTGCATTCTTTTATTGCCTTGCCAAACCACAATATGAAATGGGCATCTGAAATGAAAGGCAACTCCAATGCCATGTTTCGGTTCCATTTTTGACATCTTTTGATTTCAAATTTGAATGGCTATCAAGAACAAATAAGTTCTTACTCACCAGCTCCATCGTATCAGGTTCTGATGCAGATGCATCCCATCTGTTATTTAGAATGAAGATGTTTGGTCTTGAAAGACGCTGATTCACTTTGTGAAAAAAGTTTTTCTCCTGCAAACGAAAAGGGTACCAAATGAGACACTAAACAAACATGGGAAGATTAAATCTATGAATGTTACCACATTAGATAAATTTCTCCTGTAACAAATTACATTTAAAAGCAACTGAAATTTCAAAAAAATTCAGTCAAATTGAAAGTTGGTGTGTGTTTTATCTTAATACACATAGCAGATGAATGGTTACGAATCAACATACCGTAACCATAAGTGTTGACTCAGCATTAGCAACCAGGACAAACACATCAGCATCCAAACAGTGTTTATCAATCCACAGATCAAGATCAGGGCTCACATCTATACCAGGACTAAAACAACAGTTGTTTGTGACTATTTACATGGCAGTTTTTGGGCTTCTTCTTGATGTAGAAGACACAGGACATGTCATGGTGGAGCAATGCCTCATTAGCCTACTTTTTTCACTGTTTTCTAGTTCTTTTGTGTTTTTGTTCCTCTGAAACCTTCACACCTTAACATAAGTATGCATATTCTCTGTACTGTTCTCTATATATTCCCTAAGGTGTGGATGAAGACAATTAACCTAACAGTCCAGAGTTTCTTTAGTTGGTGATCATTTCCTTTATTCTCATAATCATAATGTGTGATTCAGGGCTGAAATTGTTAGGAGAAATTGGATTGTAACTGCTCAACAGGTTAATTATACAGTAAATTTCATCACTTTTATTTTGCTTACCTATCCACCAAAACAACATCCTCTGACAACATTTTACATCTGAAGTTAAAAAAAATACATTTTAAACAAGAATGAGACTGTCACAAGTGATAACAATGTACAGGTACAGCTTTCTTGTAATGATACAAACCCTCTGATCTAATGTGAAATGCATGACCTAGAACATGTGTACTGTGTTTAGAAAGTTTTTTTTTTTCATCTTTTTAAGACACAAGAGGCAGCCTATCCAAGATCTTTCAACACTAGAAATATATTTCCTTTGTTTACAAGACAGTCAATGAAAAACTAATGACACAGCTTTATACTTTACTGTACGTATATTAAACAATTACTGAAGGGAGTTGAAAATAGTAACTTGAATAATCAAGACAAAGTTCTGAGTTATCTGCTGAAACTGAAGGCTGTGGCTTATTAAAAATTTAGACACTAGGCTTAATAATTCAAGATATCATGTAAAAACTGAATTCAGTAATTGTTTTATCCCACAGTTTTAAAACAAACTGGAAAAAATGACACATCTCTTTGGGTTCACAAAAGTTTGGGAAAGGGCTTGGAGACTAGGCAGACTTTGAACTCAAAATGACAAATGCAATGTTTGTTACAGATATTGGGTTATCATGTCAACTTCTTGACATGATATTTAATTGAATGCTCGTGACTAATCAGCTTGTTTATAATAAGTGTAATGCATAATAACAGAATTAATCTGTAACCAAAAAAAATTTGACAAACGTAACCTTTTTGGAATAAACCAGGAAAAGAAAAATTAATGTACAACAAAGGACACAACATTCTACTTTTACAACAAATAAATAAAGTTTGCAAGGTTTAACAATAAATGCACTTAGACTGACAGGACATCAGTTACCTGTGAGTAGATGTGAATGATATAATAATTACAAAACAAAATCAAACCTGGACTTTGGCCAGAAGACTTGAACAAGACTACTAGCATCAAGCTTTTCTTCACACAAGGCATGGGCAAGTTGACCTAGTGACTGTTTCCATGACAAAAAAGAAAAATATGTAGTTATCAATATTAACTATTTATTACCTTATATAGCACATATATCACCTGGAGTATTATTTAATATTTTTTATAAGCATTTTTCTGCTTTAAGATAATTAACTTAAAAGGTATCTGTGATATTTTCTCAATTAAATGTCAAACCTCCATTAACTGTTAAAAACCATATGAACACCAGAGAAATACTGCTAGTTTAGAATTAAACAGTAGGAGTTTTTTTTTATTGAGGTTTAAGCTTTTATTTGTTTTAAGGCTATAAAAATCAAACTCAATTCATAAACAGTAAATCATATCTTATGCATAAAATATTTGTAAGAAAAATATACATCCTTGTTAAGACTAAGTGACAGTCTGACAGAGAAAAATCATGCTTTCTTAACCAACTACCTCTTGCTCTTGAAGTATGGGTATTATCAAAAGTTGACACACCCATACATGATTAAAACACCGTCCTGTTGCTTATAAACACCATGTTCACCAGGCCGATTTTAAAATAAATGCACTGGTTGCTCAATCAAGAAAACTTGGCACATATAATTATTAAAAAGGAGAATTACAACAATTTTCTATCAAGAAAATGTCATACATATAATTATTACAAAGGAGAAACTTACAACAATATTTAAGAAGACATACCTTCACATTCTTTTTGTCATTACTCTCTGGAACCATGATATATGGATCCGGTAAATCTGAACCATGTACACTGAGAAAACAGTTTGTAGTATGGCCAATACCCATTGGTAAGATCTTATCTTGTAGCATGGCGTTTACTGTAGTGCTCTTTCCATTACTGGTTCGTCCAAAGAATGCCACCTTCATCTGATCCCTTAATAGAACCTCTGAAATGCTTGAAACCTGGGCCAGAAAGCCTGACACCTGTGTGAGAGAAATGCCGTAATCAGTTCTGACTTAATGAGAGTTAATTACATAAAATAATTGACAGTGACAGTGTAGGTATCTAGAGTGTACATTAAGTGAGATGTACCATGAATAAATGCATGGGTTGTACACAGAACTTCGTTCATAGTGCCCATTACCAAGATTGCAAAATTGGTGTCTTGACAATATGTCTTGTGTTAACTGGGAGAAACAATTAGGGAAAACAAAAAAAAACTGGCATGAATCTACAGAAAGTGTCCGGGAGCAACTTCAGAATACCCCGCAACTCATTTACATGTCATTGAATAAGAATAGCGTCTATTGTGTTATGCCTCGATCTTCAAAGCCTCCCGACACATGTAGTGAGGCGGACCAAAGTTGTGGGGTATTCTGAAGTTTAGCCAGTGTCCGTAACAAACCGAATTATTGTTAAACAAGTAAAGAACACAACTACATTATGTAATGTTATTGTACAATATATCTGAATGCACAATCCATGAAAATCCTGGATTGTACATCTACAAATTGTAAACAACATAGCAAAGTTAATTAAAGAAAGTATTTGATCGATGTATCAATCAAGGCAGCTTTGAAGTATAGAAAAATAAATCAAAAACCATTAAAAAACAACCACAAGGTTGTATGATCAACACCGGTTTAACAATATTTAATTTACCAATTCTCATCAATATCATGGAGCTTGAACGCGACATTCGACAATCTTACCTCGCTTGAGAACTTCTTGATGTCGTGTTCATTTTCATCAGCTATTCTGAAATCAGCTAAGAATTTGTTACAGTCTTCAAGATACTCTTTGATGTCCCCAAATATAGCGTTTATCTTCTGCTTCGCTTTGACGAAATTGTGCAGAGGGGACTCTCCATTCACTCCGTTCATTTCGCCATCTTTTAAAGATTTAGCTCGCTTAAACTGAGACGATGAATTCTTCATGTTTACTAGGTGGTGGCTGGATAGCCAGCTTTTTTAATCGATCGCTTTTCAGTGGAGGAATTAAGTGCGGTGTTTACTATGCGAAGGGAAAATAATAATTGTCAAGGCAGATTCAATATACGCACGTGGATTTCATAATTGAGGCATATTTTGCGAAATGAATCCGCTGAAACTTGTCACCCTTTTTGCGTGTGTTCAGCTCGTGAGGTGTCTCTCCTGCATGACAACTCGCGTGGTACGTGTATGTTACTGAGGGCCTTGAACATGACAGAATAGTTTTACAGATTTTGACGGGTGCTCAAGCACTCCTGTTTTTCCCAGAACAAAGTTTTATTCATAAGATCCCGAGATAAGTCTCGTGATCGCGAGCGCGCCTGGTTCGACCCTTCAATACTCGCGTGTCGCGTTCAAGGAAGACCACGGCGAAATCTCACATGCGTGGAGTCTTTATTTAAATTAGATAAGCATATACTTGCTCGCTGAGATCGTCATCTATCAGTATCGATCTACCCGATCAAGAAAAAATGAGACACTACGTGGAATGAAATCGATTTACGCGCGCCCAGTCCACGCGCGAAAACCTGCTGAACAGGTATAGGTACTCTGCCATGACTTATCTTTGCCTCTGCATGACTAAAAATCTTTGAGGCGTTTTATATTATTAAATAACTGAGCTATTGCTATCAATATAAGATTCAAGTCTTTTGTTTATTTTATTTCCGAGACCACGGGAGGATTCATCACGGTTTTGTAACTTTTTCACGATGTGGTAGAAAATATCTTACTACAATTCGCTATAAACTTAACATTTGAATGTCATGGGAGAAAATATTTAATAGATTCTCAAACAGCGATTAAAATTTTAAATGTCTTACACATAAAATGTGTTTCTTTGTTACAAGTTGTTGCTCATAATGAAAATCTGCGGGAGTGTAGTTGGTACTTGAAAGAGCTTGGTTCGTTTTCGTTGTGAGGTTTTGTAATTTCACCTGTTTGAACATTCAACGTCTCAGTGCTTCTGGTAAAATGATCAGCTCTTTGATGGGATGGGAATTCGTATTCCGTGATAAAATGTCCACGCAGTGAAGATGAACTGCTAACATCGCTCGCTATTTCCTTATCCAAAGACAAAGCCTCGTTGCTCTCTATAACAATCTCAGGTTTCTCCATTGTAAGGGATCCTTTTGCTTTCGTCATTCCTTCAGTACTGGAAATGTGATCGATTGGTTCATTTTCGTCCGGAGCTAATTTACTATCACATCGTTTCATTTCAGAAATATCTGCATCAATTTCGTTTTCAAGGATTGGAGAAAGTTGTGAATTTGCGTCTTGATTATCAAGCGAAGCAATGTTTTCAGCTTTTTCCTGTAATTCGTAATCTCGCGGTTTTCTGCGTTGTTCTATTGACTGTTGTTCCATAGTCTTTTTCCCGCAGGGTTTTAATGGAAGGGGAGGCAGAATTAAAGCAGATGGAACCGACTTTTGTTTTTTCATGTACGCAGCTTCCCTCGGTCGAAGATAAATAGGATGACCTTTAATCTCCGTCATAAATGCTTTCGCTAAGACAGCATCTGACTCGACAGTAATCGGTTTAGCAGTTTGTTGTTCAAGACTTGGTAAAGATGGGTTTATTCCCCATCTTATCGGTCTATTGACGAGTGGTTTTGATGCTCCTAACAGCTGATCAATGTACGAATAACCCACACCTGTAGAAAAGTGTCTTTGCCTTACGGCATCGTTGCTCAGTTTGTTGAAGTGGTCTCTCGTTGAAAGACGCTGAGACGGATCTATGTTCTGCGAAAGTTTTTCCACCTCGGCAGCTCTTTCGTTAATCTTCTGTAATTTTCTCTCGTATGTCCTCATTTGAGCGTTTACACTCTTCACTTGCAGTAATTTCTCTCTGTTCAAGCGCTCAATTTGACTTTGTAGAATCTTCTCACTTCGGAAGTTCATCTTGGCAACGTAATGTTCCTCATTTTGACGCATTTGTCGCGTTGCTTTAGCCATATTTAACTTAAGGCTTCAGAATACACTTAATGGTGCTTAAAACTTGTGCAAACATTGAGCGTCCAAACTATACATTGATAAAACCAAACAGACGGTTAACGCTTCGACGAAACGGTGTACTCAGAAAGAAATACTTAGAAACTTGAGACAACAAAATACTTAGGATTCCGATCTAGTAAATGAGATTCATTACACTCCAGTTATTTTGGTCGCAAGTTATGACAATCAGTAAAACTCTGTCAACAAGAGGGTCTTTGTTTGTCGGAAGTGAGGTATATCGGCTTCTAAATAGCTTTATGCAGAATTATTGTTCAAAACTGACACTTTCTTATTTGAGACCATTTACATAACAGTGATATAGCAAAGTTATAGCACAGTGAAAACTATGTGTGAAAAGTGGCCACAAACGAAAAGAAAAACAAAAAAACTGTTTATGACTAAATTAGCAAGTTTGTACGTATTTGCAAAATGGCCGTGACTGAATTCAAAATCTGGGCCAACATACACTTAGAGCATGAAAGACTGAGTTCAATTGTCATTGTCCGTCACGTGCCTGGTCGACTGTTGTATTCAACGGGATCAATATCAGTATCTGGGCAACTGCCCACCTACCCCTCCCCTAATCCAACATTAACCATGACTTGTTATCAATAGACTGTTGTTAGGTTAGGGGAGGGGTAGGTTGGCAGTTGCCCAGACACTAATGTTGATCCATTCAACGCTTGATCCCTTTCAACCCTAAGAGTGATCAATATTTTATTGCTCGCTACAGTATCGCCCTCGAATCAAGAGCATGATCGCGAACCCAAGACACTATCAGACAAATTCTCCTTATCAGCACCTTAACAAATGTATGAGGAACGGTATGGAGAATATGTATGCTAATATTGGCAAGATAATATTAGGAGCTTATATCCTCTTGGATTTTAGGGCGTAAAGGGTTAAGTTTGTAATGGATGATGCAACTTACTCCAAACTCTTTGCCAGATCGTGGATTGTTAGTGAAGGTATCAAATAACACCCCTCTCCCCTCCCTGCTTGAAGTATCCCCTTAAAAAATACCACTCAGGGATGTACAGTTGACAGGCTTAAGTTTTATCAAAACACTGACATGTGAATCCCTCCTTTACAACCCAGAGTTCCATGAATAAGAAATGAAGTGCGAGACTATCTTCAGCCAGCGCGAGAGATGCACGGTGTGACACGCACGAGCGAGGAGCCACGCGCGCAAGAGGGGTCGTAGACGCGGTACTAACACTCTCGTCGAGATCAGAGACACATGTAAATCGTCTTTCATGAGTTTCTTCCGTGTAAAATCTTGAATTTTTTTTCCCTACCAAAAATTGGAAGGTGTTGTCCTTCGTCATCGTTCCTCGGAAGGCAAACTACTAGACAAGAACAAAATATTTTATTTTATAAAACCGATGGGTCCTGGTTACTAGCGCAGCCTCGCTTTCTTGCTCAACGTGTATGTGAGTGTCTGAGTGAAAAAATTATCGATAACTTTTAGTGAAATCTCATATATATTCTTTGATTTCGATACCGTAAGCAACCCATGACATTATTTGAGATCGCTTCTCATTTTGGGTGATGTTTATTCGTTGCTGCGGCCCAAACATGAGGATAACCAATGTTCGCTATGGCCGCATCGTGTTCATGGCGTCTGCCACCATTTTGGTTCTTTTCATGTTCCTCTTAGCACAATTCAGCCTGCGAGCTTCTGGTGGCAAAGGGATCATGGATAGAGCTAAACAACATTTTCATCACTGGTTTCAGAAAACTGTTTTCAAGCACAATTGGGAAGATATCCACTGTAGAAGAAAACATGCCAATGAAACTACTATAGAAAAGAGCTGGATTCCTGAATTGGCTAAACAATTAAATTTAAAGGATGGTACCTCTGTGTTTGATAGCAATACTGGATGTAATGAATGGCTGACTCTTCTGAGGAAGGAATACCCGAAACTCATCATCGGCGGTGCCCACGCAGATCAATACGCCGTGGATTATGCTAAAAGGTTGTTCAATGATACTCCAGCCACTTTTGGAACCATTAGCTCTGATGGAAAACTGAACTTTCTCGGAGATAAAACACAATTTTCGCATGTTATTAACTATGGAGGATTACGACAGCTGGGTGATAAGGAGATACAGTGTAATCTCGTGAGAGAATTACTGCGCATACTAAAGCCAGGAGGTTCAATGTACCTAGGTCACAATGTGGAAAAGACAGAGTGTAAGTTGATAGATAAATTCGCTAAAATCTCTCTACCTGGATGCTACTGGTCAGAAACTTGTCTGAAAAACAGAACTGATGTCGCTCTAATTTATTACATCAAGGAAAAAGATCTGTTCGGTGCCCATGCACAGATTGACGATTGTTATACTGCAGTTTTTATTCACAAGAAAGTTATTATTTCTCAAGGAAATGATGGACGCAAGGAACCAGAACCACATTACCAGCCACATGCAAATATGTACTTTTGTGAGACAAAGGCGTCTGGTAACATTGTCAATAAACTAAAAGAACTGGCAATGCGTACAGACCTTGTTTTCCCTGGAAGTCTCAGCAAGGGGTTTGAACTGGCCAAAAGAATGCATGAAAAAATTAAAGGAAATATTTCAAACATTTTACAATGATGACCAACTTGAACACAGTGCATCTCAAAATCAAATTACTGAGAAATTAGTTTTTCTGTTGTACACATTTCTTGCTTAACTGTACTTTCTTCTTTTAGCACAGATATTTGTATATTCTCCAATAGTGAATTTCAAGGTTGAGTCAGGATTTGTAGATGGGCATTTTAAATTCTGCCATAGTGACGTCACTACTGATCATGAAATAGTCACCACCCTTCTTAGGACATTCTCCCTAGATTCCTGAGTCTTGTATATAACTTGTAGATGAAAGAGTCAATCTTTAATTGCCTTCTCTTTTCGCTTTTTCTTGAGCCAAAAAGATGTTATAGGTCCTAAATTAATATGATTAGGGCCTGATGTTTTATCATGGAATGTCATATTAAAAAGCTCAATAATACTATTTAGAAGAAGGCAAGTGCTCAATGTGGATAAAGAACTCTATGATGAAAAAGAAAAAAAAATTGAGTATTTCTGAAGAACCTGTGATAACCTAGATTGTGTCTGTCTGTTGGAAGAGAAAGGAGCCACTCCAATGAGCTTTTTCTAGTTTTTGATAATAAAGTCAAGGCTAACACTTCTGAGAGAGATCCTAACACCTCTGCAAAGTTTCTAAGCAGCGTATTGAGGTGATCCTGATGTTATTATCAGATAGTTCCCAGTCTACCTCCTTCCACAAAAGTCACATGACCATGGTAGACTGGCTCAGATCATAAAAAAGGAGCTTAAATCTAAATATTTATCTTGAGTCTGCCATTTTAATTATAATAATAATAATACAAAAATTTCTATAGCACCCTATTCTAGAGCTCTAAGGCACTTAATAAAAAGTTTAAAGCAGTAACTTGGTAAATAATAAATTTGAAAAATACTAGAGCAAAACTACAAATTGAAATAACGCTTAAAAAGATGTTTATCAGATAGTTCCCAGTCTACCTCCTTCCACAAAAGTCACATGACCATGGTAGACTGGCTCAGATCATAAAAAAGGAGCTTAAATCTAAATATTTATCTTGAGTCTGCCATTTTAATTATAATAATAATAATACAAAAATTTCTATAGCATCCTATTCTAGAGCTCCAAGGCGCTTAACAATAAAAAGTTTAAAGCAGTAACTTGGTAAATAATAAATTTGAAAAATACTAGAGCAAAACTACAAATTGAAATAGTGCTTAAAAAGATACGTTTTTAAGGTTGCTCTTTAAAGATGTAAGATTTAAACTACATTTTAAATGTTCTGGAAGATTATTCCAAAGTTTAGGGGCACTGACTGAAAAAGCATGATCACCATAAAATTTTAACCTTGATCTAGGTGTCACTAACAAGTTCCTGGTTGATGATCATAAATTCCTAGATGGCTTGTAACTTTGCAACAAATCCCGAATATAGCTATAACCTAAATCATTTAAAGATTTAAAAGTCAACAGTAAGGTTTTGAAAACAATCCTCTGCTCCACGGCATGCCATAATAGTTCTCTCAGTAAAGGAGTAATATGGTCATATTAAGAACTACATGAGATTAGACGCGCTGCACAGTTCTGAACTGAAGTCTATGAATTAAGTATTTTGGAAGTCCAAATAACAGAGAGTTACAGTTGTCCAATCTACACATTACGAAGGCATGCACTAACATTTTGGTGCTTTCAGCTGACAGGAACTTCCTAATACGCATGCATACAAAAAAAGGAAAATTTACAAATGGCAGCCACTTGGCATTCCATGTTCAAATTATTATAAAAAAAACACCTATGTTGCTGGTAGAGTGAGAGGGATTTATAACTGGACCATCAATCGCTGTGAAAGAGAGGAGCTGAGAGACTGGACGATGTTGCGATCCTATGACCAAAGCTCTCTCTTGTCACCATTAAGTTTAAGTTAGGTCAAAGACATCCATTTTGCAATATCATGTAAACATGCTTCAATTCTTGGCATAATTACAGATGAATCAGAGTTGAACAAAAAATAAACCTGAGAGTCATCTGTGTAGAAATGAAAATTCATATTATGTCTTCTTATATCTTCACCAAAAGGAAACGTATACAAAAGATATGAAATAGGGGCAAGAATAGAACCTTGGAGAACACCATACATTAGATCAGACTTGCTGGAACTGGTTCCAGTCAGGCTGACAAATTGACTCTGACCAGCCAGGTAGGATTTGAACCATGCGAAGACCCTTCCTTTGATACCAAACCATATCTTAAATCTGTGGAGTAGTACACTGTGGTCAACAGCATCAAAAGCTGCTGATAAATCAAGCAGTATAACAAAACCGCAGTGCCACCATTGTCCACAGCTCGCAATATGTCATCCTGTACTTTCAAAAGAGTGGTCTCAGTGCTATGCAGTTTCTTATAAGCAGATTGTAGTTTCTCACTGAGATTGTTCTTACCAATATTCTGCATAAGTTGGGCCGCAACTGTCTTCTCAATAAATTTGGAAGTAAACGGAAGATTAGACACCGAGCTAAAGTTCTTAAATTCTTCAGGATCTAAGTTAGACTTCTTTAAAAGTGGAGTAATCATAGTGCACTTAAGTGCATTAGGCATAAAAGCCCCCTCTAAAGAACGATTCACTATGTTGGTAATTACTAGCAACAAAGTTGGCAAGCATTTCATCAAGACAGAAGCTGGTAGAGTACCCAGAGCATAGGTTTTAACTTTGATTGATTTAATCAGATTAGCAATGTATTCAGTAGAGACACATTAGAAGATCACAAGCTCACAGGGACACAGGGTAGTGGAATTCTCTGGGGTAGATTTGAAGTATTAGGACTGCAAGCAGGTAAACTTTCCTTTATAAGTCGTATCTTGTTGGCAAACAAGGAGTTAAACTGTTCAGCTAGAACAGAATCAGAACTTGTGGAAGGATAACGCACAAGAGGTTTTCTGTATAACAAAGTATTAATCACTTGAAACAAGATTTGCTGGTTTCCATGACTGGCCTCAATTAGTGATGAGTAGTAATTACTGCCTGGCTGTATATTAGTCTGCTTACCATCTCAAACAATCTGTTCAGTGAGGAGGAGCTAAACAAAGAGACACTGCTGATTCAAAGGATGATTTCTCATAATAACCAGAGAAGCAGCTATAAGAGAAGTGGCGATTGTGGTATCACAAGTTGGACAAGTTGGATTATGAGTTGTTTCAAAATGGCAGTGTCCAAAGTGAAATGTGGAGCACATCTGCAAGGAGTTTTGATCATTTGGGTTACCCAGGTAAAATGTAAGGTGGGATATAGGCAGGATCCCAGCAATCCCACTTAGGATCCCAGGTGGGAATGGTAGGATCTCACCTTTGGTGGTGGGATCCCACCTTTCCCACCTGGGATGAAAATTTGATCCCACCTGGGATCCCACATTTAATGCAGGATTCCTGCATTCCACCCTGTATCTTAGGTGGGAGTTTTGCATCTCACCCAGGAGTTTAGGCGGGACTTATGCATTCTACCCGGGATCCTAGTTGGGATTTACATATCCCACCTAGGAAAATATTGTTTTGTTGATTTTATTCTTACAAAACATTTTTGTGAAAGTTCCAATACTTAGGGATCATCCACACACTCCACAAATATTTGGCATGCAGACAAGACAGAGGTGGTCACTGTTCCCTTTGAGAAAAAGCACCTTTTAAATGACTTCAATTTGCTTTATTTGAAACTCTGATCTGAAAATATTTTTAAAACAAGACTTGTTAGTAGTGAGTCGTACAAACCGAGTTTCTTTTTATAACTTACTTTCTTAAATGTCCCAATCACTGGACCTCCTAAAAAATATTACTTCTTTATATTTTTGGTGCAAAATAGAAGTCCTTCTTTATATAAAATGAAAAGTGCAAGTCACAGTTCAATAATAACAGCTCTAACGTTTACTTGTTGTTTTTCTCTAAGGCAGTGATCATCAAAATTGTTTTAACCTTTTTAGGTCTGTTATAAAATTTTAATTTCAGTATAAAATGACAACCTTGTATCTTCGTTCTCTCCACCCCTTTCCAAGCTCGGGAACGCTTCGGACTTGCATAACCATTGTAGACGAGAATTCCAATGAACCTCTGTGATCGCATATGGTTGCTTCTGTCTCTCGTGCAAATGTTTCTCCGTTATGAGACGCACTTGACTCTGTTGGCACCACTGCTAGTTCAGTGGAAATAAAGACCGACTGAGGAATCGGGATGGCTAGCTGTGTTGAAACGTGTTGCTGAACGCTTATTACGGTCAAGCTTTGTTGATTTGGGTACTGGTACACTGGGATCATCTAGGTATCTCTTATACTTCCTAATGTGGTATCCTTCTTTTATAAAAATGAGGGTAAAACATAATTTGTAATCACATTCAAAATTGTGATTGGCTTGTGTTGTTTCTCACTTCAAGTCTTTCTTTCCTCGATAACTTTCGGCTACAAATCTTGCATTCTTGTTCGATTCTTGTCGATTATTTCTACAAAGAGTGAATTCACATCATTATTTATACTATCGTCAAAACACGGATCCAAGGTCTCCACTATCCAAGAGAGGAAAACCGGTGAGGAAAGACTAACTAAAGATGTGCGCTTCTCTTGAGACTGCAATCGAGCAAGTCAGCGGATTCTCTTTGCTAAAAAATCCACGTGATCATACCCGTGATCTGAAACAAAGAAAACTACATTTGGCGCTCATCTTTGAATGTACTTTTCATCGGTTCATCGTTATTGCTTCAAGTTGTTTCTTTTCTCAACTGCTTTGCTTAATATAACATTTCTAAAGATATGTTTTATCGTGGTTCAATGGGAAAACGAGAACAGCATGAGTGTTGTAAATGAAAAGAAAGTCGTTGGCGCCATGGAATTAAAAGAAGGGACAATTAACAGTTGGCATATCGACTAGTACAAACAACGATCGAGTGGCTATTTATAAAGCTAGGATTTTGAAAGTTTGTGGTGAGTGCAAATTGCGATATTCGTTACGTGATCAAAATCTTACCAAAGAATAGATATAACGGCTTGAATTAAGCTTACCTAACGCTCGGCGCAACTGAAACTCAAATAAGGGCCTGTTTACATGGAGGTGAGGTAACCCGCCTAACCGTGGTCGAAAAATAAAACGCGTTTACATGCAATCTTACAACCCCGGGGTGCTGAGGTGAGGTTTCTTGAGGTTGTTGTTGCGCTTGCAATAAAGGAGTTTGAGCAGAGGCGTCCCGAGCTCACCTCTCGAATAAGACGAAAGATTAATTCTCAGGCATATATGTATTTATGCGACAGGTCATCCCACCTATCATGTAAACGTGATCAAAATAAAATAAGAAATTATATGGACAGGCGGGTTACCTCACCTACCTGGGGTTCCCCACCTCCATGTAAACAGTCCTTAATTCTGAGAATTGAATCGGTCACTTGCATGCTGCAGTTTCTTACGGCGGTGAAATACGAGATACAAAAAAACCCTCAGCTTGTCGCGCAACACGAGCAAATTTGTTGCACGACAAGTTGTGAGTTTGATAAAAAAAAAACGAGCAACAAAGCCAAAATTTGTTGCTCGAAGTAGACCCATGCTCTACTTTTTGCAACAAATTTCTTCAACCTGCAACAAATGTTTTTGTTGCGCAACAAGTTGAGGGTTTTTGTATCTTGTATTTCGCCGCCTTTAAGCTTACACTTTACAATGAAATAATCTATCAGAAAGTTATATGTTGAGTTGTGCTGTTATTCTTTAAAAATGTTCCATTGAGAAATTTGTTAATGAAACAACGTCAAACACATGCTGGTTTATTGCAAATAAATTATGAGATCTTTATCACATATAGTCTGTGTATTCATGTACTGTTTGAATTATTTAGGATCAACAGCTTGGGTAAGATAATGGGATCCCATTGGAGGTGTCAGTATGTTCTATAGCTAGTTGGAAAGTTTTGGACCCTCAGTGGATTGATGGGATCTATAGCTCCCACTTGGGACCCAACCTGAAAAAGGTGGGATCCCACTCAGGACACACCTGGGATCCCACCTTATATTTCTACCTGGGTTACTCTTTTTAATCTAATAACATTATGTAGGTATCTCATTTGAGGTTCATAATGTAAGTTTCAGACCAAGTTTTTACCCTAGGAGTTTTGGACCAGGTGTAAAGTGTCTGGGTTTAACTCTAAGCAAACAAACAAGTTTACTAGTAGAGATTAATTTTGTATGGTTTCTGGAGAAACTTTCTCTCTAATGATCCCCCATAAGAAATATGATGTGGTGTAAGGGGGGGGGGGGAGAGAGAGGGAGAACAAAAAAGTTAATGTGAGGAAAGTTGATTGAAAATACAATCTCATGCACACTATAACACTGCTGGTAAAAAATTATGTGCAGATAGAAAGAGAACTAAGGTAAAACAGGGAGCCAAAGAGCCAAGCTTCCTTAGTAGAAGAAGTAGAAAATGAGGTATGTGACTGACTCAGACCTTTGACATTCTCAGTTCAACAAAACGTTTCCATGAGGGAGTGAAAGAGGTTTTGGGTGTGATACAGGGGCTTTTAATTTTCATGCATGACCTACGAAAATACAAAATTAAAACCCAGTTAACTGTGAAGTTTTTTCTTTTCACAGTATGTGAACCCTCAAGTTTTGTCCCATTTTGTGATGTGTTAGTTCTACTTTTTGAGACCCCCTCCCCCCTCCCCCTCCCCCTCCCCCTCCCCTTTACCACCCTCTTTTATGTTGTGAACATTGTGGTAAAGCTGTTGAATTGGAGGTGATGCAATGTATTGTTTTATCTGTACATACTGTTAAGTCCAAATGTATGATTGTGAATTAGACAGGAACAATTTTACATACTTTTTGTTAACTTGTCTCATCAATTTAAAATCATGTTACTAAATAACTAGACATGTAAAGCATGTAAATTTAATGTTCTTGCATGGTGTCTGACATGAAGTGAAAAAAGTTTACGGGATAATGTTTGTTCACCAAATAAATATTCGCGCAGACGTCTTCACCCACGAAAAAATACAGCAACAGCAAAAACGAACAAAAGACAAAAAACTTATGCACACAGAAAACCTCTACCTCTACCTCCACCTTCTCTGATAGTTTGTCCCCTTGACGACCATCTCCAAATCCGAATAGCATTTCGGGACGAGATGGCAGAATGACTCAAATTCCCTGCGCCGAATTGAGGCAGTTTCGCAGTACTCGAAGGATTCAACTTCATTATAAACTGTAAGTTATCATTTGTTGATTTTTTGAGGATGTAGTCAAAGCCACTTACTCAAGATGATGTCGTTGTTTGTTTCCGTTCTTCCGTAATGAACGCCAGGAAGATCACTTGATTTTTGATCCGGGTAAGATTCAAGATTCGTTTGTGAGTGCGTTCGAGTTAAGTAAATTGCAGTTGAAGTCCCATGTTTTTAAGCTTTCAAGATACGTAATCTTGCGAAGGGCGCCAGAATGTTTTCACGCTTAGTAGAAATAGGTAATCGTCTTCAATTTTACGGTTATTTTTCTCCTTAAGCTATATTAGACTTAGGCCATGCTTATTTGCAAAGCGTTCCTAATTGTATATAACAACTGATCAATATTTTTAGTGCGCAATTTAATTTGCGGCTTCTAGAGTCACTTGCCTTTTTTCGAATTTTAGAGATATAGATGTTTTCATAACGATGACTCAAGCTTCATTTCGAAGAAGAAGTCTTTCTGTGCGATATAAGAAAGCTTTTAGTCGAGGAGTGTGTTAATTACAGGCGTAAAGGCTAGTTGGACGTGTACAAGCTGCGATTAACACCCCAATGTCTACTCAAAATAATCGTCTTAGATAAATGTCAACCTTTTCGCAGTTAGGCATTATAAATACAATCACAGCTTGGAATTGATAGGAACAGCTTTACTATGGTAAAACTCGGTAGTCTGGGGCCAATTTCTGCTTGAAAATGTTTTGTACAATTATCGCTGTTATTGAACTTCTTTGAGAGCTTGATTTCATCGTGAGAATTTTTTTAAGAGGTTTCTAGGTGTGATACGTTGTAATGATTCTTACGTCCGTGTGAAGTTAATTACCTTACCTTAAGATATACTTGAAATAATAAATCTTACCAAAACTGATAATAATTTATGGACCTATTTTTCAGGTAATTCTCGAATACGATTTAAGACAAGGAATTATTCGTAAAGTACGATGTCTCTTGGTGAGTGTGAAATTGGTCATGAACAGTTCATTATATCAAATTTAATTTGCTCTCAGTAAATCTTTTACCCATTTAATTGTTTATCTCTGTCTTCACTGATTTTTTTGTGCGCCAATTTTGAAATAATTTTCAGTGCAGAGTTGTCAAAACGGTCTGAACGTACTCTATTTCTGTTTTAGAATCAGACGGCACAAGCTCTCCTTCTAGTACCTTGCGAGAAAGCTTCATGCATCTGTTAGAGAGTCGCAAAGATTCTATAGACGTTCTTGGTAAAGAATTAAAAATAGATACAACTCAATTCAAGGCAGTCCGTGAGGTTGTTTCCACATATGAAGAAAGAGATGGCCGGGAACTGTCACAGAATAAATGGGGGTCCATATTTAAAAGCCTTGGATGTTCGGAAGAATTTAAAACGCTTTTGGAAGGAGATTTATTGCTTGATGTAAACAGTCTGGATAATTGTCCTCCAAACAATGTCAGCAGCCAGGCTAAAGAGAGTCTTCATAAGAAATCAAGAGAAAGTGGTGAGTTTTCTTGGATTTTGTCTTGAAGTTGGTCAGCTAAAAGTAATGATACATGATAATCAACGATTTGTGCAAAGCCATGGACATTCTTCATTTGCCTTACATAAATGAGAAATAATCATTTAAAGCTTCTGTTTGTTTGCTCCTTCCATTGTCAAGGCTGCATGGTTTGATTCTTCCATCAAGTTTCATGAAGTTTTTTTTTTTGCCACAAGCCTTTTAAAATCATTCTTAGAGTGCCTATGACATGAAACTTTTTTGCATAAATATTTAGCTCCTTCCATTGGCAAGGCTGCATGGTTTGATTCTTCCATCAAGTTTCATGAAGTTTTTTTACCACAAGCCTTTTAAAATCATTCTTAAAGTGCCCATGACATGAAACTTTTTTTGCATAAATATTTAGCACATCATATGTACAAACCAATTCTGATTGGAGAAGAATTAAAAAAAACTCAAAACTCGGTTTTTTGGGCCCTGAAGTGCTCTTATTTTGTCTTAAGTGTCCTGTGGACTGGTAATGATGATGTAGGAAACTGTGAAAACTCTTAGTTGACATTTGCAAATCTCTCACATTTCTTGTAATTTTGTATCAGTCAGCATTGAAATACTCTTTGAATAATGTCTGATAGCGATGTATACCTATCTTCAGCAACCTCTACTGAGAGTTGTAATACATTTTACTTAAGTAGTAAAGGAGAAATTGAATTTGTGAGTATGGTTCAGCCCTCTGAAGGAGAACCGCATGCATAAAACAAAGACCTAGCTGAAGACTAACAAAGAAGGTTTCTTGCCTGCAGTGTTTAGGCCAAGATTAGAACAAAAAATTCCCATCACTGAATATTTAATTTGTTTCATTTGTGTTTTGTTTTCTATGACAAACTCTAAGTCAAGAATGGGTAGCTTTGTTCATTTGTGTTGCATTAACATTTTACTCCATCAGACTATGTGCGGCAAAAGTTCCCCTTGGTCAGTGCTCTAGAGTTTCGTTGATCTAGAGAAATTCCTTTGGTAAACCAAAAGCTTAACTTTTGACAAAATAATCAGCTGTATTATGAGGCACTATGATTTTCTACTAAGTTACTCCTTTCCTTAGAGATTGCAAAGGCAGAGGTTATCATGTTAATGATCGAGCTGGCCAGACCTCCCATCTGGTGAATAACATATATTTATTGTTTTTTTAGAGGGCACGGTAACGAATCTTGCAATCTGATTGGTTCTTTACCCGGTCAGTATTTTCCTATCTCTGCCCACGGGCCACGGTAAGGCTTTCGTGAGTCGCCGAGTACATCCCAACTTTCGTTGTCATTTTTCATAAATATACCTCGTTTTCCGGCTGGGCAGTATTTTTAAGTAAACACATCGGCCACTACCTCAAGCCGATAAATAACTTATGAATCCTCTCTTTTCTCTCTATCAAATCACTTTGGTTGACAGAAAAATATTGGTTTCAGAATGAATTTGAATAAACAATAGTGTCATTACGTTGGTTGACAAGCGGCCTAAAAACCGTCTGCAATTAATTTTAATCGTTCACAAAAAGTACCCAGAAAGTTGAAACGTGAGGTATTTGGTTACAGTTAAACTGAAAGATGGAACTTTCATTTATTTAATATCTGAATTTTCTCGAGCAATTTGTTCATAGTGAAAGAGCGAGCGAAGTTTTAATTTAAGTTCTACAACAAATATACGCTCCTGGTGAGTCTTTCCAATTCCGTTCAATTTGGACATTTGTACCTTAAATTGCACAACAGAAATTGAAGGAATTTTTTGAGAAAAGGCCGCATTACATTCCCTTGTGTCTCGTTGGAGTGTGCCGTTTGAATTTAGTTTTTGTGAAGGAAAGATCAGAGTTAAACACGCCATTACAGCAAACAAACGAGCAAACTCTCACAACTTCAAAATAAAAAAAAATTGAATTTACTCACAATTACTTTCCTTGCCGTTTGCTTAATGAACAGAGGTAAATCTTCGTACATAAATGAATGGTCGATGAGAGTGAATAATACTTTCCGTTAGATCATTAACTGATTTTGAGGAAAACATTGTCGTGACAGTCCTTGCCAAACTAGTTCTGTTGGTTTTCAAATGTTCCTACGCTTTTTTTTTCTTGCGCGCTCTCTAATTGACAGGTGTCAGATTGTGACATATACTTGTAAAAATAATGTTTCAAAGTTTGTTTGGAAGCCTTTTAAATCACCTTTATCGTTACGGAAATGAAAATATTTCGCTGAGGCATCTCTCTTAAATTTGCATCACCTCTATTTTAACTACCATTTACTCACTCAAAAATTGTTCAGTTTATGGAAGATCTTGCCGTATTTACGGCCATAAATCATTTGGGTTCTTTTGGAAAGAATTTCGTCAAGTTTAAAAATAATAAATATGTTATTTACCGGCTAAGGGTCGGTCCGTATAGTGAAAAACTGTGACCTCGGTCTTGAAAATGCTGCCCCTCGCCCAAGACCTCGGTCACAGTTTTTTCACCATACGGACCTCCCAGCCCGCAAATAACATATATATCTCAGGCACATAAAATAAACAACAATAAGGAGCTCACCATTCTTCACTTGCAAAGTGTCAGCTGAAAAGAATGTTGAATAACTGAGTACAGTGTGGGATCAGGCAACTTAATCAGTATTCATTTTAGATGAATTCATTGGTTATCTTCCCCAGATTTGAATAGTGGTACATGTTTGTAACAGGTGTCTCCAAAGCCGGTATGAAGCATAAAATCTCCTTGATGTTGACAGTCAAAATGCATCCATTTTGGTTATACAGCTACATCCTTTGGAAAGCAGTGTATAGAAATAGCTGGTGTATGTGCATTATTCTTGAAGCTAACATCATTTGGTGCTCTGGTCATGCAATACATTCGTCCTTTCTTCTGGATTTCTCCTTTCTGCACCATAATTGCCAATGTGTCTTCACAGTTTTCTACATTACAGCTATGTAACATGATCGCTTTGGCTGCATGCTTAATGGGGATGCTTTTTGGCTGCCAAATCTTGCTTTCAATGCACAAAAAATGGTCAAGCAGAGCTCGCTAGGCACTAAGGTTGATTATTTCTGAGTTTAAATACAGCCATCAACCAGTAGTGAAAAAAAAATTTTCATGTCATAGGCACTTTAAATGCAGAATTCTTTGAAAATCAGAGCTACTTTGAGCTTTCCTTTTCTTAGGCTAGGGAAGTGATTAAATAGTAAAATGAGAGAACACCATTTCCTTCCAAAGAAGTCCTGGGTATCCAGTCAACTAAAAAAGATCAGTCCTTTTAAAAGTGATGCAATTTTCCTGTCGACCTTCTTGTTTTCTTTTAGTAGATCTGTTAAGTTCCAGTATCATGTTGTGTTTGTTCATGATTTTTGGCACCAAATTTGCTGGAATTTTGTCAATTCTAAATGCCATTATGACATCATCCCTCTAACTCCCAATATCTCATTAATGATTCTCCTTACTGTTTGCTAAACAGTTCTTGTGATGTTAGTCTGGAGAATTTGGTATTGGATCAACTTATAATCCTCTAACGGATATTTTTATTATTTGTCTGCTTGATATTGTATTGATATTGTAAGGGGAAATTCTGTCTTGGTCGCTCATGGGAGTTGAAGTTCACAATAAGCAAGGAGGCACTTTAGGGGAGAGGGATGGTCTTCTAAATCCTGTTTTTCTGCAGGTAGCCTCATCTTTTGTGTTTGAGTGAGCCTTTAGCCCGTAAATTATTACTGGTGGCGAGATATTTCCATTTCTGATCAGAAATTTCACAAGTTTTGTGCTTTTTGGCTCCTGGCTTTGCTTTGGTTTTTAAGTAAGAACTTTTTTCTACCTTGGCAAAAGTAGTCCCTCAAAGGCTTAGAGTAACATTAGTTACTTTCTGAGGTTAACGCATTAAGGTTATTATCTGTTGCTTTGGGAAAGATGTTTTGGGGTTAGATTCAGGATAGGAAATATGACAGAATGTGAAATGTGCAATAATTGGCAATGAAGTGTTCTCACTGTTTTCCTTTTCTTATGTCAGAATTGCCGTCCAAACCAGGAGATGATGTAAAGGAGACTTGGAAGACAAGCACTGACCTAGGTGATTGCCCAGAAAAGAGTTTTTCATCTTCGCTGGATAAACCAAGAACAGATGTAGTGAATGATTCTACCAGGGAAGTGAAAGATGATGAAGTAGAACATCTTTATCCAGAAGTTGGTAAAGCTGCAGAAAGTATGGTGTCATCAAATGGACAAAACTTAGACCCACATGTCAGGGATGTGGGGGAAGAGAGCTATTCAACAACACAAATCAGTGAAGATGGTATTTTCAGATCAGATGACTTGAGCTCAAGATCACCACCAGCCACTCCTGAGGTAAGAAAAGCTCAATTATCAATAGTAACTGGGTATCAGTTCCGTCCAAATAACCCAATAACTGATCAAGCCACTGTTGTCTATCGAGATGGGCAGAATCTCTTAGAAAACAGAAGTTTTTCATGTGCTGAGTTTTCACCACCTGATGCACATAGCTTAGCAACTGCAAACCAATTTCAGCAGGTCACTCCATCTGATGCATATGGTATGGATGAAGAGAAAAATAGTGGCACATTGTTACAGATTGAAACAGGTCCTAGTCTAAACTCTTGTGGTGGAGGTACAAGACCTGGAATGGTTTCTCCTGATGTGGCAAATTCCCAGTCATCACTTGAAGAAAATCAGAAATTACAACCAAGCAACCTAATGGTTGATCAAGAAAATGGTGTGGACCATGACAGGCAGACTTTGCTGGAAAACAGGATGTCATATGACCATCAATTCTCACCAGCCTTTGATGGAAGTATTTTACCAGTTGCTGCAATGCAGGACTCTGTAAACCAACTCCAGCAGGCCACTCCATTTGAAAAATATGGCACAGATGAAGCAGAAGACAGCAATTCATCATCACAGAGTGGTACAGAAGCTAGTTTGTCTTCAGGTGACTTTACCACACCATCACAACTAGTTACTACTGAAGCAGCAAACTCCCCTCAACTTGGTCAATTACAACCAAATAATTTAATAGCTGGTGTTCAAGGAATTGCTGTGAATCATGATGTGTCAGTTTTGCCGGGAAACAGGGGAATACCTCTTAACCCTCAATTTTCACAAGTTTCCAATGCTAGTAGATTATCAGCTGTGTCTGCAATACAGGATCCTGTGAGCCAACACCACCAGGGTATAGCATGGGACACGGAAGACAGCTTTTCATCGTCACATAGTGACACAGATGGGAGTTTGTCTTCAGATGACTCAAGGACACAGTCAAGACCATCTACTCCTCAACCAGCAACTTCCCCTCAATGTCACAGATTATATCCAAGCAACCTGATGGCTGGTGAAGCAAATGCAGCTGTGAATTGTGATGGGCCAGACTTGCTGGAAACTGGGGGAATGCCACTCAATGCTCCACTGTCACTAGCTGTCAGTGCAAGTAGTTTACCAACGGTGTCTTCAAGGTCTGCAATACAGGATCCTGTGGGCCAATACCACCAGGCTACTGCAACTGACACACATGGCACAAATGAAGCAGAAGAAAACATTTCATCATCACAGAGTGACACAGATGGGAGTTTGTCTTCAGATGACTCAAGGACACAGTCAAGACCATTCACTCCTCAAGCAGCAAATTCCCCTCGACTTCACAGATTACATCCAAGCAACCTAATGGCTGGTGAAGCAAATGCAGTTGTGAATTATGATAGGCCAGCCTTACTGGAAACCAGGGGAATGTTACTCAATGCTCCATTGTCACCAGCTGTCAGTGCAAGAAGTTTACCAGTAGTGCCTTCAAGGTCTGGCACAGATGAAGCAGAAGGTGGGAGTTTATCTTCAGATGACTCAAGGACACAGGCAAGACCATTCACTCCTCAAGCAGCAAATTCCCCACCTGTGCATGCAAGGTTTGCCATGCAGGATCCTGTTGGCCATGTCCACTGGGGTATGGCTCGTGAGATGAGCAGAGATGAGGAGGAAAACAGCAATCAGCCATCAGAAAATGATGATGAAACTCAGGACATGAATATTCTTCAGCAGGTTTGTAGTGTGATGGGAAGTAGCCTATTGGGTATTTTTTTTCTTTTCTTTTCCTTTCTTGCTTTTATTTATTCATTTCTTTTTCCTTTTTATCTAACATCTGCAGTAGTCAGGATCTGAATTCTATAGCTAGAGCTTTTAACAGGTTGCAGGTCAGGGAGTCACAATTCAGCCAGATTGGCATTATAGTGCACAGTTGCTTGTGCCAAACATTTGCAAAATCTTGCAAAATGTTTAAAAAGTTACTATCCCTATCACTAACAGGTAGTGCTTTTGATTACTGAGACCTCTAGAATCCTTTAAGACTGTTTTCATGTTATTTAACAATAGAGAAATCCCTACTTTCCAAAAGTAGCTTGTTGGGAGGTTGTTAAGACAACAAGGGATCCTGTGGACTAGTCTTCTTATCTTATTGTTCATAGAAAGATTGTCAGCTTTGCTTTGTGCATTAAATTACCTGCACAATTGATACTTTTTTCCTTGCATAATCAGCCATTCCAGGTGGGTGACAGTGCTGGATACAGGTTTGACTGTATCTCAGAGTTCTTAATTATAAAAACCAAATTTTTCATATACCATTTTCCCTTTGACAGGTTCAACCGTTACAGTTTAAAGACATAGCATTCTTGATTCAGGTAAATCATTGCTTAATTTGATAAATATGTAATTATAGATATATATGAAGAATACTGTTAAGTTGGTGTATATTTTTGTGTGATTGCTCTTGGTACTGAATGCTTTTAAACTTAGGTCCTGGTCAGTTGTTGCCAAACAACTTTTTGTACTTTTGCAGTTCATAGTCATCTTAATTAACATGACTTTAGAACAAAAACCAGGAAAATGGTTACAATTACCTGTTATCATCCTATGATTTGTAAAATATTTAAGATATCTCCGGTCAATATTGGTAAAGTGAATATCTAACATTGAGTTTGATTGTAATCTGTTTTTTGCAGGAGCTACAGGAGAAGTCTACAAAACTTGAGGCATGCAAGCAAGAAGTACAGGTACAATTGTGAAAACCAACCATAGCATTCAAGTTATTAAATTACATTTATGTTTTTTTTTTTTTAAGAAAAATACACCCCCAGTAGAGCACTTCAAGCTGAGATAGTTTTGCTTGTCGTAGAAATTCATGAGAAGTATTTGGTAACTAGATTGATTTGAAGCCTAAGGCGTAAATTTGGCAGCCAGTTGTTAAATATGTCATGTATATCTTTTTAAGTTTTAAGAAGAGGAAGTCAAAGTTGTCTAAATGGGCCATTTCACAGTTGTGTACTGAGTTGCCGAGCCTTTGATTTAGAGTGAAGCTAAGGTGACCTTGTTATGATAGAGACCAGTATCTAGTTAGCATAATTACAAGGTAATTTGCATTTGAAAGCAAGGTTTGTATCATAACAAGGTCAACCTTAGCCTCACTCCTGTTCAAAGGCTTGGCAACCAAGCACACAACTGTGAAATGGAATCACCAGACTTGACTCAGGGTTGAGAGTTCAAGTTGCAACTTATTTCCCAGGCCAGGTCATTGAGATGTGTTCTTCAGGGGAACACCGCACTTCTACATCGGTTAACCATTACAGTTTCTTTAAATGTGATTGGTGCAGTAGCTGCTTTATTTTTCACAAATCATTCTATAGAGTATGTAATGGGATGATGTAATGGGACAGTTGGCTGTAATTGGACACCTAAAATGGGACAGTTGAAGCAGCCAATCATATTTAGTCGTTTCAGTCAAATCCACCAATCACAGAATTGATCACAATAACCATAGCAACAATCACTTATCCTTAAAAAGTTGTGAAATTTCCAAAGTTGAGAAATCTTTTACTTAGACATTGTCTCTACTACACATAAATGTAATTGTTGTTTTCAGAAACTGTAACAGTTATGATTAATTGGTAACAGGACTTTGTGTTGTCTAATTCTTTCTGTAATCATACTTGTGACTGACAAAATGGACCCCCCGCTTTGCAGTCTTCTGATTTTGTCAATCACTCATTTGATTACAGGCCAAATTGGACTCCACTCAGTCCTCAATTACCATTATAAATATTTCCCTTTTGTTTGAGTATAATTATCTGAATACAATATGAAGTATGGCTCTTTTTGTATAGATATTTTTTGGAATGGACGAGTTTATTCAAATGTAAACCAGAGGAAGGTTGAGAGCTCCTGTGACTGTACATTTTAAACTTGAATAATAATTTTTTTGTTTAATTTTTAGCATTGTAGACAGCAGTATGCTCAGCTTCAGGGAATCAATGATGAGGTATGGTTTGACAAAGTGCTGTTGTAAAAAAGGTTCATTGCATTTGTAGTTATTAACCATGGACAATGTGGTAAAACCATGAGCTTCTTTACAACTGAATTTATTAACCAAATATGGTTGTGCAAAAAATGTGATGCAAGCATTTCAAATTTGCAAATACTGTAACACGAACATCTTTTATATAGGTGCATTACATGTCTGTGCAAAGGGGTGAATAAAATTTTTTTACTAGCTATCCTTTCAAACAAATAAAATCTGGTACTTTAGATATAACTTGTAATAAATTTGCAAGATGCTGTTTCTGCAATTGTTATAATTATGATATATTGAAATGCAAGTTTGTTTTCCTGAAAAAAATTATCCTTTTTCCCATGTTGGGAAACTAAGCTAGGGCAGTGCCAAGCTGAAGTCAGGGCAGGAAAAAAATTTTTGATTAAATGTGACACAGTGGTTGCCCATTTTATTGTCTTTGTTACTTATTCAGTGATTAGGTCTAGAGTTGATGAGAAACATTCTCTCTTCATACAGTATTATTATTTTGTGCTCCACAGTTTTCTTTTGTGATAAAACCTGAGTGCTGAGCTTGGAGTCCTGAAGCCAGTAGTTACCCTGTACCTTTTTTTTTTTTTTAATCTTTGATTTTTATTACTTGTTTCTTGCTTTTAAAGTATGAAAGACTTTTGGATGGCAGCAATCATCTACAACAAGAAAATCAGCGTCTGATAAGGATGACTCAGGAGGTTTGTACTCTGTAGTGGTGATTTCTATCCCATAGCTCCCAGATTACATTTATTGATGAAAACGGAATATTGCTGATCAATTTATGATGTGTCCGAAGTAACCATTCACAGGATATTTTTTTCATTTGATCTAAATTGTTTGGTTAATATCAAACTGAATCTTAAACTTTTTAGATGTGTGAACTGAAAGGTCAGGAGATTCAGCAACTCAGACAGGTAAGTGTTACATAACCCCATTTTATTATTAATTATATCTGGCCATCATGAAGTTTAAGTTTATCCAGTGACAAATTAATACACACACCCTCAATTAAGGTCAACATCTACGCTTATCATGTGTTCAATCTGCTTTCTTGTTTTAGTTGTATGAACAGAAAGAACAGGAAGTTGAAAGACTCACAGCGGTAAGTTTTCCAAATTAGATACAAGTTGAGTGTCGATCTCTTCAATGATGGCAATCAGCACAAATATTGCAGGAAATTCTTTTTGTCAGGACTACGGTAAACTGTACTTTGCAATTATTAGGACGTTTCTCACATCGTGAATGGGGTGGCACATCATCAGCAAACTGGGCTAAACTTCATCTTAACATCGCCCTGCTGTAAGTGTTGCCTGAAATCACCAGTCAAGCAATTTGTTCCAGTGTCAGCACTTGTAATCCTTAACCATGTAGCTCCCAAGATCTGATCGTTAATTCTCCTCTTTAGCCGTTACTCTTCTCCACCTAAATTAGTTAAATTAGAGAATTTGGTGTTAAATCAAGATAAAAACGTACCTGATGAGTTTGAGTATTCTCATTGCCTGTTTGCTGGATAATGAATTGATATTGTGAGAAGAAACATGTTGATCACGTCTTACTCCTGTCACTTACACCCACATTTAATTTGGATTCAACGCTTCTTTTTTTTTTTTCTTCTATAAGGAGAATGAAAGTCTTAGAGGGAAGCAGATACAGGTAAGGGCTGTAATTTGATGTACTTATTGCAACGGATGGGCGTGGCACGAGGGGTTTTGATAAGCTTCTAGTTCCGTTTTTGTAGGGCCGTATATGAAGACATGTGTTGTGGTGACTGACGTTTGTTTTTTCGATTAAAGATGCTTCGTCAAATGGCCCAAATTAATGACAGTTCTCAGCAGCAAATAGAGCAGCTAAGAAGGGAAGGTCAAGAACGTTCAGAAGTATGTGGTGATTTACTTAGTGAGGGCCGGTTATTTAAACAAAGGGTTAGCCTTTCTTCAACAGAACCGCGTCCTAAACAATTCTCAATTTAGCTGAACCTTTTATTTCAACATATAATTCTGTAATCAATGTCAAGAGGGCAATAGTGGAAAGACATTAATTTAATTAAATCTACCTTCTTACAGAGAAAGCATGGCGCCCACTGGTTGCTGTGGTTTGGTTTACAATTCATGTATATAATTAGCCAAAAATTTTCGATGAGGTGAAATTGTTAGGACTTGTAGTGCACATTGAGCAGTTTGTGTCCAGTTGTAGATTGAATGAATTCACGAGTACTCAAGACAAATGAAGTTGTCTGTCTGGTTATTTCATGAGGACACACCTACTTGTTATGCGTAATTAACAGAAATAGTAGATACATAATTATATAGTGCTAGTGTTTCTTGTGCGGTGTACTTCTGTAAAAACTGGGTGACCAATTAATAGTACTGACCAGTCAGTTTTTTTATTAGAATAATCAATGTAAATTATTGTTTGCTGATAGACTCGATCTAACAGTTTAATTTAGTATAATTATCAACTGAGTTGATTACGTAAATCCTATCGCTTTGACGAAGGGCTAACGCTCGAAAAGTCAGCTTTTAAACTCTTTACGATGGCCAATTTACATTATCAACTTAGTTGATTATACTAAATTACTCTGTTATTCTCTCCCACCGACTCAGCATCATAGTTTCCCTAGAAACTTACCCCTTTCATTCATCAATCTAACAGAACGCGTTTCGTTTCAGGAATTGCGACAGACGGTTCAAGTGGTCGAGCAGACACAACGTGAACTTGAGGCGGAACGTGAGAGTTTGAGGCTTGAAAATGAAAGGATGTTAGATCAGAGGATGACAGACGAAGTGAAAGTACTGAAACGAGAACTAGACGAACAAAAACGTAAAAGAACAGAAGCCGAAGAGCACATTAAATGTCTGTTAGAGGTGAGATGAGTTTTGAGCGACAAATACTCTCAAACGGTTGCGGTATTCATAGTGGGTAGAGTTGCAGTAAATGATCACCTTATCGATGTCTTGCTATAATTACTGTAAGGTCAAATCAATTGTTGATCGTGACGTTCCGACTGCTAAACTTCTAGTCTACGTCCAGCAATAAGGTGGAAAAGTTACGCACCGTACATGCATGGTGCTGGTATGTGTGTGTTGTGCGCTTTCTTTGCTATATATCGATCCTCGTTATTCCTTGTAGTTCTTGCTGTTCTCTCTTACGTCTGCTTTGTTACTGACTGTTCTAATAAAAAACGCTACCAAAAGTCCTAATCCTATTTTATTGTCTCTTACCACTGATATATTTCTATCAGAAAAATTACCAGCTGTACGCAATGATGGAAGAATTGATGTCTAGGCCAGCCGAAGGTGCAGACGTTTGTTGTAGTGCCTCATCTCCTGATACATTGCAGGAGAATCTTGTATCAAGCAGCAATGTAAGTTTTAAGTCTCAACTTTTTGTCAACAATGAATAGCACTCGCTGTTAAGAAATGCTAAGTCTTCACTCTTTCTTGTGTTTAAGGACTCGACTGTTGAAGAAGCTGATGAGGAGAGTGATGAAGACGAAGAGATTTTCGAGGATGCGCTGGATCAGTTGTGAAGGGTGCAAATCTCGCTCCTTCCTAGACGTTTTGATGTCAAAACTTGATTATGTATATATACGTCAACTGTATTTTAAATTGTATTTAAAATTAGGAACATAGCTTTTCCCATTTGTGAGGTCATGTGTTGTAAAAAGTTGCTAAAGGTAGTTGCGTAATAGCGTAGATATTGCATCATACGAGCAATTTCCTGTAAATACTCGCGCTTTTTAAAATTGTCTTGTGAAAATTTTTAAACTTTTACTCCCAGAGGTGATTAACATGTTATTTCTCTCTATACTATCCATACATTATCCATCAAATAGGTGATGATTATCTTGAGCTAACACCAAATTCTCATAACCAATTTACAAGGAAAGGTATAGCAGCTAGAGGGGAGAATTAACTATCAGATCTTGGGAGTTATAGGGTTAAACTCGCTGTCAAAAGATGGTGGATGTCTATTTTAGGTGTTATGTAGAATAATTAATAGTCAACGGTTACTTTTTCATATCAAACAGTTGTCCTTCTTGTATGTAAATTTATGACGAAGGAAAAATATATTAGTTTATGCGCGTCTCCATTTGTGTTTTACGAAAGGGTCTTAAAAGGATTTTTAAAATGTATATCTTGTAGCAATCCCTCGGCCGCTATCATTTTCAATTGGAATATGCACATATATTGTTCATGATGATTTATATTTCCCACTAGATTGTATATTATTTATATGCCGAGGTTTTTTATACGACTGTACCTTTCAGAATAGAGAGTCTTTCGAAACACTTTTGTAGACTTTCGTACAAAATATTCAATGAATTCAATTGATTGTGATGAGTTCACGACTAAACTCTCAAAGAGTGGATGATTTACATTAGATGCAAAATTTTATCGAAAACCTGAGATTTTCAGTGTATGGTTTAGACTTATCCTGGCCATGAAACAGAGGTGGTTAGACGGAAAAAAATCTTATTTCAATATCAAATATTGAAATTTATTTTAACTGGTTTATTGGTAGTGAAAAAATAATGAAATAAGTTACAATTATTTACTTTTTATTCACCAATAATTGTTAAAATATTGAGTTTTATTAATTAATTCTATGTTTTAATGAGAGGAACAATTAATGATGTTTGCAAGTATTTTTTAAAGTAATATATTTAAAATATGCAGTCGTGTGTTCGTAGAACCAATAGGTTGTCAATATTTTAGTCAATAAATAAATGTTATCAGGAAGAAATCGCTTGCAAGAATTGTCTCGATGTCTGGTTGACCGGCATTGGAAAAGCCACAAACTGCCGAGGGCCTCCTAGAACCATTTCTCCTCCTAGAAAGGTTTTTCTGAGAATATCGAGAATCGATGAATAGTCCCTAAACATCGATTCCTTTTTTTTTCATTGTGCCATAACACTCCCTTCGATGAATGTATCGCCTTATTTTACGGGACAAATTATGTAAAAAACTGTGTGGATATTGCCCAATTAAATATGCGAATATTTGTGTTTCTCAATTTCGGTGGTCATCGGGAATGTTAAAAGTTATTTGATAACCAAAGACTTTTCCCTGGTTCTGTGCTACTCTTCTTCTTTGAAAATGGATGATAATCGTTCGACAATTGTTTTGGCAAATTCTTCAGATCGTCCAACTTTGACAGTCACTATTACAGTCCATCAAATTAGAGGCAGCTTAAGGTGCTAAAAACGTTATCTGGTACGTTTCATTTGATTACGGAAATGCTACTTCCCTTGATAACTTCCACTACTTTACTTTCCACCTTAGAAGTTTCAGCTCTGGAAGTTAAATTCTCTTCCGCCAGTGAATTTATTCTTCCGACATGTATGAGGTTCTACATGAGGTTAACCGTTTGCATAAAACAGCAAAATAAAAAAAAGAAAAGAATAGCAGTCAGGCTTAACAATTGGCCAATTTCAACTGTTAGACGTAAAAAAAAGGCAACCGTAAGTCAAGTCCATGGGAGCCGCTAGATCTACGTCAAAGAAACAGCAGGTAATGGCGACAAAAAAAAAAACAGGACGAGAAGCTACTAAAGAAACGAAGAATTCAGTATTCTGTCTCTGAGATGGATGTGGTAAGATTTTTCAGGGTCGATCTTCTCTGAAGTGACATTTTTCCGTAGAGCAGAGTACCAAATCCTCATGCAGAGAAGCTCACCATGGCTTAATTTGTCAGCCCTTGCTTAGCTAGGCTATAAATCTTTCCAGGAAGAGGGTGTGGGCAACATTTCGATTGCTGTTTTTACCAGGCGGGAAGTTTGTCGCTCAATAACTGAGGCACGCCTTGGTATTCCTCTATTCGGATGTTTAGACGACAAACAAGGAAGACATGCAGTTTTTTTGAAGAATACATTGTAAGGTTTAAATCAAGGAAATCTCGCTAAATTTTGTATGGCTGTTTCCTTCACCCTCGTCGATCTAAGTTTCTTGTTCAGCAGAGTTTTAGCTTAACATTGTAGCCGCTAAGACCTACGCTTGCAAAGGTGAACGAAACTTATGAATAGTATCGCCTCTGCAATGCCATTGTTATAGTGCTTCCAATAGAAAAGATGCCCAGGATAAAATCTCTACTGTCTCGTACCTCTAGCCGGTAAGATCTCAGGAGGCTTAACAAATACTACCGGCTAGAGGTACAGCTTGCATTTTTAGTCGACTTTGCCTAATTATTATTATGATTTGCTCCACATTTGACTTTTCTGCACTCCAAATTAGTCTTACACTCCTTGGAATCACTTTCTACAAGAGTACGTTTACTTTTAATTTTTTTCTATTTGGTCTTGTACTCGAGAGGTAGTATTTAGTCTTAAATACTCCCGGCTAGAGGTACAGCTTGCATACTAGTCGACTTTGCCCAATTCTTTTACGGTTTGCTCCACATTTACTTTTCTGCACTCCAAATTGTAATCTTACACTCCTTGGAATCTTAAAATCAAATTGTAATCTTACACTCCTTTGCCAAAATAAGATAACATCTTTTGGCCATTGCTCTCCGGCATCAAATAATCCGTGGTAAGCCATGATATCTATGCCATGGCAAAGAATGGTTTACTCAACGACTTAAGCTTGGTATGCTAGAAAACACATGATCTGCCAAAATCTTGAGTAGGAGGTTTCGCTTAAGCCAGTTAATTGAAGAATTAACACAGACCATGAGGTAGCTCCAAGGAGCCTTAAACTTATTTTAATTTGTTACTTTAATTTAATCATAACAGCCATGCTTGGGACACGTAATCCCATTTTGTCATAATTGCGACATCACTTAGAACAATCTATTTTTTTTCTCCGAATGAACGGGAAATAAGATGTTTTAATAGTACGTTGGAATACAACTCATAGGAATAGCCACGATTGACATTGAGTAGAAAGCAGAATACCAAAGTGTGTTGCTGTTTAGTATTCAATACATAAATGAAAAGCAGTTCTTAATGCAATAAGAAAATAAGCAGTGGTTCCTTTGGCCAATTAAATCAAGGACCAAGCCAAAAAATTTTGGTTTTAGGGAGGTTTAATCATAAATCAGAGGCATGCCCAAAGTAATCTTGCACTCTGATCGTTTTTCCCACAGACACGCACCTGTTGCACCTGTTCTTCTTGTTTCTCTTGTTACCATGTTCCTCCCAAAAGCGTGGCTCCATTTTCTGCATATAGACACACAACCGACAATTCCTCCGTTAGCTCCTACCCCTCTTATAAGTTACCACCTTTACAACTTTCCCCCTCTATACAGCTACTACACCAACCTATACCTACCACATCAAACTACACTACACTACACTTACTACCCCAAACTACACGTACTTCACCAAAGTACACCAAGCTACAGCCAGTTCTCCAAACCGTGACTACACCAAATCACATCTACTAAACCAAACTATACCTACTACGCCAACCCGTACCCACCGCAGTAAACTACAACTATCACACCAAACCACACCTACTTCACCAAACTACAACTATCACACCAAACACAACCAAACTAAACCAGTTTGATTCATTCTGGTGGTTAAGTTAATTAAAGTAATTTTAGAGTGGTGACAACTCTTAATGGTTTGAAATTTCTCTTATCTTAAGTGGTTTTAGCAGCTGGTACTGTTGAACTGTTTTACTGGTGTATGAAAGAACATCCGACCCCTCAGATTTGTATGTAAAATTGCTACCTGTGATGATTCTATGTTTGCTAATTCAATTATGATTGTTTTCTGTTCAGAAATCAGGACAGCAATGTTCTTCGCAGGATATAAATGATCGTTTACGGAAAGAAAATGGGGAGGTATGTCGCTAGATCTCACTTTTGAGAGTTCCTGTATATCTAGCTCGATTTACTTTCGGGGTAGTCCTTTGCAACATGTTTATGGGACAAACATCAAAAACAGGGTCCTCTTGACGCTAGAAACTGAATACGCTCCTGATAAGGGCGGCTCCTTAGTGATTTACAATCCTCGAGTGCATGCTTAAGTTACAAGAAGGGGCACGAGCCGCTGATCGATGCGACGGCAGGCCCTTCGTGGGAGGTGTTGACATTAATGTACATGTTCGGTTCTGGATCGGTACCAGGGTCATCATCCAAATTATTAGCGGCGAAACTTTTGAGTGCGGTTGTCTGTGTTCCCTTGCCAGACCGGGTGTCCGTAGCCATTTTCGAGCTCTCCGAGATCTTTCCGAAGAATAGCTATCCTGGTTTCTCGGTCAGTAAACGCGACCACGTCGTCAAACTTTACCTCCTTTGAAGCTCCATAATATCGTCGAGCACACGACGCCATCTTTCCCTCATGTTGTACGGTAGCTTGAATGTCAGCTTCTGAATATTGTCTGGTTGATCAAACTTGGACGAGTATTGACTGCCCTCCATTGTATTCTTACCGCTCACGAGGAAGATGGCTGCACCATCCTCTACTTTACTCTTACTCTATGGCCGGCCAATTTAAGGCTTTAGACTTGTACGTGGACGCGAATTGATACTCATCTCCGAACTTCTTTTTCAACTACCGACGAGTCTCCAGGTACCCTAGATCGGGTGGCAAATGATGACATGAACGCACAAATCCCTTGACGTCCCCACAAGTATATTGTTCTCAATAATACCCTGAGCCTCTCGGTACTGCTCGATGTCTTAGACTAAATCAAAGACTCAAAGGCTCGGATAAATGTGCGATACTCCGCAGCATCCCCGTCGAACGTGAAAACACGAGGCTGAGGAAGTCTGCTCTTGTTTTGGTTAGCAGATAGCATTTCGATAATCCTGTTCTGTTGCAGCTGCAGGGCGCTCTGCAATTTAACCTTGTCGGTGAAGTTACTACCACTCGCGTTGGGAATTACCTCAGAAATAATTGGCTGCACCCACAAACAGAGCTAGTAGCTGGGGTTGAGGCCATTCGGGCGCTTTCCGATTTAATATTGTGCGCTTCACGGTGGGCAGTAGTTTAGATTCTTCTTTCTTGCTTAACTCATGCTCCAGCTAAATAGGCTTCACACTTAAAGAAGGTGACGGCGAGTCCGCCATTGCTGCCAACACTTGTTCCTTTGCCGCCGTTTCGCGGTTTCGGCCTCCAAATTTAAACACGATTCCTCCATCTTTAGGCGGAATTTCTGCTCTTCCAAAGCTTGGGGTTTTTCTGGCATTGTTCTCTCAAAATCTGCGCAGACGCCATCGTGACAAGTCGTGATAACTCGGAAAGATTCGACGACTCATGTTAATAGTCGTGATCGTATGATCGAATGATCATTCTTCAGGTCCGAGTGTGTTTCATACACTGATATCAGTCAGTTTAAAGCGTTTGGATTGGTTTATTCCCTATCATTAGAACAATAGGGTAAAATTAGCAATTTTTTTTTCAAAACAACTAGTTTACGCGTCTATAATATGATAATTTACAAACCCGCCTACCCTCATCACAGAATAACTACTGTTTCCTCACAGGTCTGAATTACACGACATTATTGATAGTAAGTGTTTCTTGATCGTAGGCATAATATGCGCTGGAGTTATAGAAGAAGTCTAAAATGTATTTATATAAATCTCTGTTCTCGATAAATTAATAAAATTAACTAAAACTTGGTCTCGTTTGCGTGTTCTTATTGCGTAGGAGGCTTGGGTACATGAGGAGGTTCGCGTGGGTTCGT